GTTCGTGTGTGTTGGAGGAGGGGCTCTGTAAGGAAGTCTGAAGGAAGGGGCAAATTTTTTTCGGTTGTGTACTTTCAAATTCTAGCGCACTCGAGCTGGTTTCTCCATTCTTACCTACCCTACCTTTAAAGCTTATCGAAACTATGAAACAGAAACATATTCTTATAAATCCGTATAGACTGTAAACCATAATATTAGTTTGCTTTGAAAATGTGATATATCTATCTGTCCTTTGCTGTAATTATAAATGTTCAAGCAGTGTATTACTCAGCTGTACATCCATGCAAAGTATGTGCATTTAGATAAGCTTAGCCTCAGTTTGTTTAAAATTCAGAACAGCACCGTTTAATTATTGCCTTCAGTGTAATGTAAAAATGTCAATACTGAAAGCAATTTGGGTTTGGTTGTTCCGTTGTGGACGTATGTGTTTTTGTTGATGTAACTGGGTGAAATGGCATCACATAGATAGTTTTTAAAAGCAGCTAAAAAGTTTTCTTAGGCACCGTGTAACTATTTCACAGAAAAACCTCCATCAAAGAACAAGCAGCATGTACTGTGCTTTGCTCTAGTAAAAGGACGTTCTGTTCGGTTCTACCGTGTGCTGTACATATAAGTGAACAGGTTGTTTTCGGAACTGGCCTCCTGTTGAATGGCTGAGAGATGTACTGTACTGTACCTTAAGTGGGGAGAGGTGACTGAACAGCCGAGGCAGAAGCAATCATGAGTGGCAGCGCAATTATAATGCCATGTATCACAGGTATTTGTCCCTGCGTCACCCATCTGCCGCACACCGAGGGGACGTCGTGACAGCATGCAGGATTTTTTCTGTGGCAATTTGTGGTTTTTACAAAGTATTATGTACAGTACATGAACATACAGGTGGGTTTAAGAAAAACAACATACTGTGCACGTGTGCAGCCAGAAGGACAACTTTAAAGGTCCTTAGCATATTCTTTATTTTTTATTTGGATCACCAATTTCTTCCACAACATGGTCAATAGTCTTCCTGGGGTCTAAAATATAAAAATAAATCAAACATTTAAAAAGGAAAAGAAAAGGCGAAACAAGCCACAGGCAAGTACCCATTAAAAATTGAAAAAGCTCTGCATGTGAAACTGAAAACCATATTGGCCTACAATAAAAACAAAAACTGAAACGTCATTGGACATTTATCCTAGTAGCTTCGTCTGTCAAAGTGCAACTTTAAACGTGGACTGTGATAACAATCATCCTGGCTGGTTTCTGTCCTCATCAGAAATAAAACATAACTTTTTGTTGCCATTACATGTAGTTTAGTTTGCCCATAAACCATCACGCTGTGTCTTTCGTTGCGTAACGATGTCCCACAACATGCATTCATGTATTATCTAGGCTAATTTAATTAAAGGTGCCACACATTCACTGGCGGCAATCCTGCACCTCCCACAAAAATACATGAGTTTCCTCTTGAGAGAAGCCACTTCCAACTGCTCTCCATCACAGCCTGAGCTCCATGAAGCAGAGAGAAGGAAAGTAAAATAAACTCTAATTTGATTGATGATGACTGACGTGAGCCGCTGCCACGTTCTGGTAATATATTTCTCATAATCACACCGTTCCCAACGTCAATTGTGCCACATGCCTCCAGCAATGAAATATCCAGAAGTCAGCTGCCACAGCGTGAGCACTCTGCACCGTCGACTCTTCAGAGCCCAGACACCAATTTGTCCATCGAGACAGACACAACAGAACAAAAATGAACTGTAATACTGAGTTTTATTCAACAACATTTCTCTCATTCTGTTTCTTTTGACTCTCTTGCTCTCTTCACTGACATCCTAAGTGCAACACGCTCCTATCACTGAGTGTTGCTGGGAGGCATTGTTAGGAGATCATTAACTTAAAAGGAAGTCTAATCTGTGTCCCAATACAATTAACTTACCAAAAAGTTGAATGGGTATTCAATTATTGCATTTGACCATGTGCTGAGTGATCCACCGTAATGGACTGCATGGGTGAAAAGCAAAACATGTCTTTCAAATAAAATGAGAAAACTACATTTTACTTGGAGATTAGGTTATAAATTGAAGCTGCGTTTTTATTTTTTAAATGCTCCTTTGAACTGAGGAAAACAGGACATTCACTGCTGCTCATTTCCTTCATGAAACACTTATTTAAAATGTAACTTCTATGCCTTAGTTACGCCAGTTCCATAATTCTGTTCAACTTAATCATGAACTTTTCCTAAACCCAACCAAGTAGTTTTGTTACATAAACAGGTTCTGCATTGCACAGGCGCACAAAGCATTGTGTTGCTGGACATCACGTCAATTGAATTCACAAGTTATTCAGAATATACTGGGATAGACCAAGAATGTGAACATTATGTCATTACTTCACCATTAAAGATATGCTCCATCGTGTAGCTCCACTCGTGTTACAGCTTTATAAACTGGCAGTTGGAAATCTTTCCATCTGCGTGGTGTTATTATCATGCACAAGTACAGGCACATGGCGTGCACAGTGCATGCTGGCCTTGGTGTTGGCTTTGCCTCTGGCTCTCCAAGTGGAGCAGAAAAAAAACATACACAAACGCCCTCAAGCCAATGTGCTTGTGGTGCAGAGAGAGGGCAATAGGGGAGGTGTATTTAACTGGTGGTGGGTAGCAGAGGAACTAAGACGAGAGACGAGAGGAGAGGAGAGGTGTAGGAAATCGATGAGCTGCTCAGAGAGAAATGAGGATGATGCTGGTGGACACAGTGCGTGAAAAAAAAACAGATACTGTAGGTGGACAGGGAAAGACAGATGAAGAGAATAATGGAAGCAGGAGGGCGTTGAAGGGGGATTGAGTAATTGATGTAAAGAGTGGAAGGAGGTAAGAAGGGAGGGCTGCATAAAAGAAAAGAAAAGTTAAATTTACATTTAACTTAGAAAAAAGAGCTTATAAATACCCTTAAGAAAGTGAAGTGTCCTCGATAACACTTTGAATGTTAGTCAACTGTCTATCAAAATATTCTGTAAGACCAGCAGAGAGGATGTTTGCACGCCTTCACAGAGCTTTGGGGAACACGCGGTGACTTTCTCTGACAGGGAATTCATTCTTATTTTAAGTAATGCAAATCAAAGCATAACATGTAGATAGTTTATGAGGTGTGGTGTACACTTGTTGAGTTTAGTTATTTTTCACGAAATGAAACCCGACCCCTGAAGCCATTTTATGTTCACATATTTGTTTGAATATCCAAATAAAATATGAATGTTTATGTCGTTGCCATATGTTGACAATAACTAAACGAAGGCTTCCAGAGTGATGCATGCAGTACATCAAAGGCTCCAATACTGGAGAATGGTGGTCCATGCAAAATCACACACACACACACACACACACACACACACACACACACACACACACACACACACACACACACACACACACACACACACACACACACACACACACACACACACACACACACACACACACACACACACACACACACACACACACACACACACACACACACACACACACACACACACACACACACACACACACACACACACACACACACACACACACGGCTATACTGAACTACAGTGTTTTAAGATAAGACTGCAGCCTTACAGACTGTGATCAGGGCTACGACCTCCGTGAGAACCGCAGCTCATTTCCATTCAGCGTCCTTGTAGCCTTACACACATTCTGCAGATAGAGACACACTGCATATTCACCACTGAAGGCCCCACGTCCCCAGACAGGAGATATGACAACCTCACCCGCAATTCGGTTCCCTTCTGTTCAGCACGTCACAGTCAGATAAAGTTCTCTGAGGGCAATGCAAAGTATTTTTCTTAATCTCTCCACTGTGTCCTCCTCCGTCCCACAATGCCTTGGGGCTGCAAGCTGATGTCAGTCCATCTTAAGTCTCAATCACCAGCGAGGCTTTAAGTTGGAAATGACTTTCTGATCTTACATTTCCCTTTTGATATTTGCTGAGCAGAACACACTCGCTGCACCTGCTTATGCCAGAAAATGTAAAAGAGAAGTCCGGCAGGGTTTCAGAGTAAAGCAAACCTCAAATGTCATCTGAAATGCTACCCTTTCAAATTGATTGACACCATCTCCGTTTGTTTATCAGTGACCCATTAATCATTCCCTAAATTCAATATATATTTTTCACCTAGGGTTTAAAATGCAGTTTGTTTATCACTCAGATAACCACACACTTTCAGATCAGCCTTTACAACAAATATCTCGGATTCTGAATTTGTCTGCAGAAAAGAAACCAAAACATTTCTATTTGACCCCCCCCCCCCGCCCCCTTTTAAAACCCTGGGCCTTGTTTAGGAATCACTGTGTGAGGCCACTGTGTTGGATTCTTTAAAACTGGTTGGGTTTTCCTTAAAAAAAAATCATGATTAGAAGAAAAGTTTAGGTAAAGGTCAAGCTGGGTAGGAAGGATCAGTGTGTGTGTGTGTGTGTGTGTGTGTGTGTGTGTGTAATCTCCCAAAGCCCCCCCACACACAGTGGGGTAGGAGATGGTTCTGATGGTGCATACACCAGTGCCCTTCAGCCACACCTGAGGAGAGGAAGCACCAAAAAGCAGCAAACATTATTTTGATATTAAATATATTGTTACATTTAATTTCAAACTGAGTTCTAGTTCAGTGTGAAACAAATATGTTTGCTGCATCCGATGGCAGTCACATTCCTGATTGATGAGTGAAATGTAAAGACATTAAGACCTACAATTATTTATCACATCACATTTTCTAGTACTTCCTAGCAATATATAACATAAATCGTAATGATAAAATTAATTAAATCAATAAAATATGTTTAAAACAATTTAAAACACGACCTGGATCAGGTAAAGCGGCAGGAAATTGACGGAATATTAATTGAAAAATTAATTAATTAATGTTGATTTTGCAAAAAATCTATCCTTAGGAAATTAGCTTTCGAGCTAATGTTGTACAGCTTGCTGCAGCTCTGTGTTCTGTAGTAATGTCTGGTTGAAAACAGCATTATTTTTTATTTTTACACAGAAATTCAAAAGATAAAACATGTGGGTAAGGGAGATTTAAGGAAATCAAAACCTTTTAATAACAAGTGATGAGAGATTATTTTTAACATAATTTATCACTTTTTCTTTGACATATCTTGGATGTGCAGAACCACTCAAAACTCTTTTCTTAAACTTCTAAGGATAATTTTAACAAGAATTACACGCTGTAAGTTGAAACAAATGCCAACACCCACACACTTTTGCCATGCTTTAAAACGGAACATTGAAAATCAAATAAAATCTCACTCAACGAACACTGAGCCACAGATTGGAAACCAAAGAGATGAATCATTTGTATAAAAAAGAGAAAACTCTTCAAACTTACCATGTATGATACACATGAAACATGATCAAATGTAAGCAGGTCTAGAACACAGCTATGCATAATCAGAAAGTCAAAGCTCTTTGTTAAAATGTCATTAAATAAAGAAAAGGTAAAAGTCATTCCCATGCCATTTGCAGTGTTTCACAAATGGCTCGCTGAGGGAAGTGAGCAACTAAATATCAGTCTTTTGTTTGGCTGCCATTTAACGCGATGAATCACCGGCCCTCTGCTGTCTCAGATAGGCTGTTATCTGGCTGGAGTGAAGCGGCGGACACCAGTCAGAGACCAGTGGAAGAAGAGTTTAATCACCGGGCAGCTTTCAGATGACTGGGACCGGGTTCAGCTGGACAATCTGCGGATGTTGCTGAGGAGTCTCCGGCTGAACTCCCTGTGGTCCACCGGCTGCACCTCCATCACCGTCACCTTCACTCTGCTCTCATCCTGAGGGGGGGGAGGAAACATTTCAGACATCTCTAAACTCTATGATCAGCAACATTCAAAATATAAACATCATAGCATGATGTATTTCATGACAACAACAGATCTAAGTGAGTTTAAATCATAACCAAATCTGTGTTTAAAGAGTGCTTCACACCCAACAGTCCAGCTCTAGTATCGATTGATCATACTGTGGATAGATTCTGTTTATATGACAGTGGTTTAAATAGTTATGCTTATATGAAAATGCATGTGTGTGGGAAGTAGTGAGAATATAAGTGGATAAATGAGACCTGGTTGTGTCTCATTATCCAGTTGTGAATGAATGTTGTTGAACATGGCCCACATTTACTTATTTTCCATTGTTTTATTCACAAATTAAAGGTGAATTGATGGAAATAATTGATATACAAGTAATACGTTCACCTTTAAGTCATTAGCAACAGCGTTACTAGTTTCTGATAGCGTACTGTTGGCTGGTCATTGGTGCCAACTGAAATAACCATCCCGACTATTTTACACTATCCGGACCTTTATAGGTATCTTGTTCTTTAACTGGAGAGCGAAACATGTTGGTCTGACTCCACTGGCAGGCAAGTATTGTCTTTTTTATATTACCACAAGGGTTGAGAAAGCATGTATTGTATGTACATATCAGCATGTCTTGAGGTTTTTTTTCAGTGACAAATCTCTCTATTGACGCTGTAATTGTCACAATTTCTTGACTGCACACATGGACACTAACAGCTTGTTAGTGTTAATAAAACCATCGGCAAGCATTAGTCATGACGTTAGCTCAGGGATAAATGCATATTTAACAATGTTTATACATTGATTTTTGTATATGGATTGCTTGGTTCTTCTGTATTTGTTTGAGAATATGATGAGATTGTGTACTGTAAATGGAAGTGTTTTCTTATTTGCGTTTATGCTGTGAAACTTTATTAGATTTGCAGAATAAACAAAAATGAAATCTGTGTGAAAGAGGGTTAATCTTCAACCTCTAAAAGTCAGCAAAAGCAGGATATTAAGTCTGTGTATCTTCAATTAAAAGAAAAATAGTAAAATGTATGTTCTTGTATCTTCTATTTTATTAAATTATTACAAATATTTTTTAACTCAGCGTCAGTCAGTCTCAACAATGTGTAGCAACATCGACTATCAGCAGATATATTCCTTATCAAATAATGAAGTGGTTTGTCAGGACCTAATGTCCACATTAAAACTACTATCAAAATGATTACACCTGACTGACAGTTCATTCTTCCATTAGCAATTCAGGCAGCATAACCAGCACCAATGATTTTATATTATACCATTATCTCATATGTGGTTCAACACCTCTATGAGTTTTCAATTTGCATCCATCTGAGTACGCCAGGAAAATTAAACTATACGGCGGCCGTCGAGACAAAGGTACTACTTGACAAAAGGTGACAACTTATTTAAAAATAATGGTCTTCCTAAGACGCGGAACTGTGAAAAATAAGGCTTGTTAATTAAATGTGCGTGAAGCTATTCCAATCACATCTGGAGAAAACAATTACTCAGTGGCCACGCATTCAACCCCTATTCTCGACTCTATTTCAGCAGGGGGGTGAGGTGGTGTCTTTCCTTGAGAATTAAAAAGGCAGACATGAAGACCCACACCTTCACACACATGCATCTAATAACAGCCAATACACACCTCTTTATTCCCCTTGATGAGAATGAATAAGATACTGTACTGAACAGTCACATGCTAAAATAAACTAAGCTGCTGAACATGGTAAACATGTTACATGTTCATCATCAGAAGTTTTTATTGTCTCTGAGAGTATGTGGTCATTGCTGATGTTGACTTAAAGGGGACCTATCATGCAAAATGCACTTTTGTACGTCTTTTATACATGAATATGTGTCCCCGGTGTTCCAGGGAACTCACCAAGTGTCAGAAAACACAACCCTCTCTATTTTCCTCCATACCCAAATCTCTAAAAAAGGGGCTGCCACGGATCTGATAAAAACTGATCCAGATTTGAACACTGTCCTGACGTCAGGACGGTGACGCTACGGCTATTGGGCCAACTCCACCAATCAGGAGGAGACAGCCACGGCCATTGCCGTTCGAAAGCACTGGAGACGCTGTAGTACATATGCCAGGCCAGTAGATGGTGCTGTTCTCACAGAATCAGCCCTTGCAAAAACAGAGCTAGAAATGGTCAAATTGAGCGAAATGAGGCATGGCTAAAATGCATGATCTGTTTGGTATTTTGAAATTTTTTTTTTTTTAAATATGCCTTATATAGGTATGGTCCTACACTATATTATTCAAATATAGCGTGATGGGTCCACTTTAAATGTTTAGCCCCGCTGGATGTCAGCCTTAAAGGGGACCTATTATGCAAAATCCACTTTTTCATGTCATTTATATATAAACATGTGTCCCCTCTGTGTAAAGAGATTCTGAAAGTTTCAGGAAAAAAGATTCACTCACTTTTTGTCCTGATCCATTTAAAAACCTGAAAATCTGAAAATGAGCTGATCAGATTTTGGCCACTTTATGATGTCATAACGATTGTTTGGCTTGTGTAACCATTAGCCAATAACCAACCAAGGTAACCCCCCCCCCCCCCCACACCTTATCACCTGAATCTCCTCTAGAGCACCATTGTGTTCTTTTTAACCAAATATCTCTCAGAGGGGCGTGGGGAGTGGCTCCTTATTTTCATCTAAAGTAACAGACAGAGAATCAGCACTTTTGAAACAGGGCTGAAACAGAGGGGATTCTGGGATGCTGCAATGATCTGTTTGGTATTTGGAGCCAAACACTTCAGAGACATGTTTTGTATATATCTGAGACCTATAATATATTGATGAAAAACAGTATAATAGGAGACCTTTAAATTGCAGCTATTTGCAGATGCTGAACCTGTATAAAGAATCTAATAATCCAATAAAAAGAAACCCTGTTATTCTCAAAGTAACCTACAGTAACTATGCAAACAAGCACACAACGTCTCGGCACTCTTTTACTTTATGCACGCATTTTAATTAGGCTATATGCAGACATTTGGCGCAGAGTTTCTATGCAAAGGAAAGCAATTGCAAAAACAGTATAATTAAGAAAGCAGCAAAAATAGACAAACGGCTACAGTGAAAATACAAGTGTCTTCGAAGAGCAGGAGGAAGAGTAAGACCGCTCGAACGCATTTTTTTTGGGAAGCAGTGACAGGTTGCATTGACAGCTCTTAAATGGAAAGTGAATAAAGCAACCCTATCGAACATTTTTGAAAAAAAGAATGCGAAAGAAACATGCGAGAAAAAAAAAAGAATGAGAACAATGTCATTACTGTAAATAAACTAAATATTTTAGCTCTCCATCCTTTCAGAAATCCTGGGCTTAGCTTTTTTCTTCTTTTAAGTGGCATCATGAGCCCCCCCCCCCCATAAGACCTCTGGCTCCAAATGACTCCTACAAGCTTAATTGCTATTACGCTTAGACATTCTATAGGATGCAAAACTGCGCGATTCACAGAATGTATTGATATAAATTGGTACACGACCAATATATATCAAGACATTCTGTGAATCGCACCTTAAGACATGGCAGCAAACCAATTATTTGTAGACGAGTCCCTTAGAACCTATTTTAAAGCTTCATAATTTCCTGTTATCTTATGAAACTCAGAACGTGTTCACCTTCAGCCATTACAGAATCTTCTGTACAAGGACAGGGAAAATATCTGAAAGTGATGTTGAAAGGATGCCAAGAGCGTGTTTTGTGGAGGATGTAAAGTGTGTGTGTGTGGCTCTCAGTGACCTGTCTGTTAACATAAGGCAGGAAATAACAGGTCCCCTCTGACACTAATGTATTCATATAGACTAAATCAATTCATTCACATCAGACAGACGGATGCACTCCTACACAATCCGACATATGCACACACACACACGTTTGAGGTCCTCCTGCAAACATCAGGCTCACACACGTCAGCTTACCTCTTGTCTCTACATACATTAATAATAAAGTATAGAATCACAGATTTGAGATGAACAACCATCCAGCCTCGGAAAGATTTGAACGCTCACCGAGACTCAATATATTGCAAGTAATTTGCTTGTAATCAGATACACTTTCCCAAATTCTAAGTGCATCAAATGCAAATTTGATGTGGAAAATGCACTCATCTGTGCTAAGTAAATGCAATCCTAGGGGCCAGATCTAATTTTCACCATCATCTGAAGTCCATTAATGCCACTATAAGATGAGATGGGCTCCTACTGCACTGAAATCTGAAGCACAAGGGGCCGATCGACTGCTCTCTCCTACCTCTCTCCTACCTCTCAGGGGCTCCGCTCTAATGAAACCTGTCAGACAGTTTAGAGGGAATTATTTAAATATTCGGTTAAGATTAGTACATTTGATCACTTTCAGGTTCAAACAGATGTTGCCTCCACAGGAGAAACTTCAGCAGCTGTCCTCTGCTGAAACGTATACCAACAAACGTGGGAAATGTGACATTTTTCTTCTTCTGGCAAACTTATTTGTAATCATTGCACATGGCTGTTGAGAGCGGACTGTGTGGTGGCAACAAATCCCTTGAAGGCTCTTCCTAAATTACTTTGTAGTACTACGTCCTCTTTGGAATTTAAATAAATAGTCGTCTGTTTAAGATCAAACGTCAAAACTTTCCAACCTCCAACCTCCTGGACTCGTAGGGACTCCAGTATGGATAAAGGGCCAGTATGCCAATAGAGGCATGTGTTGGATGGTTGGAAAGCATCTGAAACCCCCCTCCCATCACAGCTGTCTGACACCCTAATAGGGGGGTGGCTCCTTGCTATCATTTCTGGTACTTTCTAAACCGGCAATATGACAATCATAACCGCTTCCTGCAGAGTTGTACAGGTGTGCAAAGATGAGAAAAAGATGTAAGGAACTTCGGCAGTCGGCTGAACTATAAACAGTGTTGCCTTTCCATTACAGAAAGACAGATAGAATATATTTTCAATATTGTTTATTACATTTATGACACTGTTGTGCATTTCAAATATTTAAAAATACATCTTCAGACATATTTGGACAGTGCATAAATCATGTATAAACAATTTATATACCTTTATAATGTTGACTATTTGTTTCATACCTGTTATGTCCCGGCTCGTGGAAAGTGGAAAGTAACATATAACCAGTTGGAAATTGGTAAATCTCTAAACTTTTAGTGGTCAATAAAGGCTTATCTCTTGAATCATGAAAATAGCAAAGGAGAAAAAAAACATTTAAACGAAAAGTTGAGTAATTTAACTTTAATAAATCTGTTGGAAAGTGTAGCAGTCTTACACCTCCAAATGAAGTCAAAATACGACCTGGATCAGGTAAAGTGACTGGAGTCACAGGATCTGTTACATTCAGCTAAAGGCCTGTGCTGTTTAATAATGTATACTCGATGGCAGAGAAAACTACAAGATTTGAGTGAATTGTGCTTGTTAAATAAAACAATAGGTACTTTATCATCCTTGCTCTGCCCTTAAATAATTTGAAACTTAGTTTATATGCAAGAAAAGAATAACAACATTAAAATATGATCTTGAGCACACTTATTTTTCTCCGTCTGTGTCCTGGTTATGATTACAACGTTTTATAACCTTATTAATCTTGTTAGGCTCTGACATTTCACGACATTTTTCTATTTTTATGAAAACAAAGTGGTAGCCTCAAAGGTATATGGTAAGGGTTAGGAACTATAGCAGAGGTAAAAAGAAGAAAAAGTGAATCTCATTTTAATTCTGTCCCCATCTTTTTGAAAAGCTATGAAACAAGGCGCGAAGAAAAGAGCTCTGAATATATCTTAATAAGCCGTGTGGCTCCTGCTCACACCTCATTATCTGTACTTGCTATTATAATCAGCTACACTGTTCCTGTTTGACGTCAGATCTGTTTTTGCCACATTTTTACAACATCACAAAAGTATGACAATAATGAAAAAGGTGATGAAAACTAATAGATGTAACAGGATGTGTTGATCCTGGTCTTGACATCAATTACTAAAAATGTCTGACACTGCTCTGATGTTTCTTTTAAATATCTCCTAAAGCATTTTTCTTGATCACTTCACCTGAAAATACAGACATGGATCTCATGCTAGACTTTTATTTGTTGATTTCTCCTCTGCTTTTAACACAATTCAACCTCATATTTTAATTGGCAGACTTTTAGAACAATTTGAAATAAGCAATAATCTTATCGGCTGGATTCTTGATTTTTTAACCAATAGGACACAAAGAGTGAGGGTGAATGGGACCTTATCTGATCAAGTCAGCTCCTCCACTGGCTCCCCACAAGGATGTGTCCTTTTGCCACTATTACTTATACTTTACACTAATATGTGTCAAAGTAGGTGGGAAAATAGGACTATTTTAAAGTATGCAGATGACTCTGTAATTGTTAGTAGGCTCAAGGACAATGAGACCAGCCACGGCCCTGTCATTGACGGCTTTGTCAGGTGGTGTGAGGAGTCCTATCTACAACTGAACATAAGCAAAACCAAGGACATGATCATTGATTTTAGAAGGCATCCCCACATACATGAAGTCTTAACAATCCAGAATCAGAAAGTAGAATTTGTGCAATCATACAAATATCTCGGGACAATTATTGACTCAAAATTGAGCTCTGATCCAAACTGTGCAAAAGGGGGCACCAGCGTTTGTACTGTCTTAGGAAACTGTCCTATTTTAACATTGACAAAACCATGATGATTATGTTTTATCGTGCTTTTATCGAGTCAATTCTGTCTTTTTCACTAATGTCAAAGAGCAGAAACTCTCTGAGTCAGATCGTAAAGTGGTCCAGCAGACTGATTGGTGAGCCACAGCTAAACCTGGAGACCCTGTACCTCAGGCAGTTACAGCGGTTATCCAGCTCCATATTACACGATGACTCCCACCCTCTGCACTCAGAATTCAAGCTTTTTCCTTCGGGCCGGAGGTTAGTTGTCCCAAAGAGTAGAACGAAGCGGTATAAAACAGTTTTATCCCAGCAGCTATTGCACACATTAACACATCATACAGTAGGAGTGTATTTATTTATTTAATTATGAATTTTGAATGTCCATGTTGTACTAGTGTTTTCCTTATAATATTTTGAGATTTGGTTGAGCAGGGTATACTTGTACTTTGTACTAGTCCTTTTATTAGAGATGTGTCTGTTGTTTGTGTTTGTTTTTAGTGTCAGGGTGGATCCTCTGCAAACAAAATCTACCTATGGGTACAAATAAATAACCTGAACCTGAATCTGAACCTGAACCTGATGCAGTGCAAAACACAGACTTTAATGGCAAGTGCTTATTGTGCCTTGTATTCAATTAATGTATGGGTTTTTCCATTTAATCGTTTATTTGAACCGGGACAGTGCACATTAATGAACATTTTAAACAAAATAATGCTTTTAAATGTTAAAAAACACCCATCTCTCCAAAACATATACGAGCAGTCGATTATCAGACAGGCAAAAAAAATTGTGTCTGATCCCACCCACATACTCCACCCAGAATTCCAGCTCCTACCTTCTGGTAGAAGATTCAGGGTTCCCAGGAGCAGGCTGAACCGCTATAAGCACTCATTCCTACCTATGTCGATTAAGCTTCTTAACATTCACATGAAATGATATGTAGTCAAATGTAATGAAAACTTTTTTAAATGTTGGCCATGAGGGTTGTGCAATAGGTCGCCATTGTCAGTATGTACGTGTGTGTATTGTGTTTGTTCAAACGGTGTATGACTGATGATATGTGTATGTCTCTTAATGTCCACTATGTTTGTATATGTACATGGATGCACTGCAGGACGGAGTCCAGAACAAATTTCCTTACGGGGACAATAAAGTATATCGTATCGTAAATGAGCCGGATTTTAGCTTTGAGCTAGTTTCCATCCGTAGTCCCGTTTGCGATGTTTTTTTTACTGATTTGGGTTAGGTTTATGTATTTAGGTGTAAAGGTTGTCATATTAATTTCAACCAAATTTTAACTAGCATTCTTACTTTAATTGCAAAAACCTGCATCCAATTATTTATATTAATTGCTGCGCTATGCTCTATTGCACGTTTTATTGTTTATTTCCTTGATTTATTGCGTGCGTTTTTGTAGGTTTGGTTGCTCACCTTGTATGATGTAAGGTCATTTAGACTGCCAGAAAAAGGTGAAATCAAATCAAATGTGACGAAGGCTCAATCACAAGTTGGCTTATTTGAATCTCCCGCAATAACGATTTTTTTTCTATTCACTTTTTTTTGCTAGTTTTTTTCAATTGACATGACTGTCAGTCCGTCCGTCCGTCATGCACTTTAGGCTCAGATTGCCCTGGAATCTGCCGTAGATATCAATGGTTCTCAGTGGATGATTGGTGCTTGTACCTCATGACTCTTCCTGTAATGTAGCTCCACTACTTGCAAAACTGTGATAACATAACAAATAATCAGTATGTTGTTTGTTGTAAACAATACTTCTGCATTGTGGGATGCAATAATTAGCAGCCTTCAGCATCTGCTCGTGGGGTTTAAGGCTTTTCTTGTAAAATTGTATGGAGCAGTGCTATGTAACATTTACTGTAAACAGACAAGATAACTTTGAATTTGAAGAATTTGTGTAACCCTGACGCTCTGCTCATGAACTTTGCATAGCATTCCTCGTAGGATTTCTTGAGGTCAGGACGGTTCAGAGCTCATCCAACATCTCAATCATTCCACTCAGACTCTTGGTATGCGCTCCTGGTAGCAAATTAGCCTCTGAATAATTGAGCTAATTAGGCTTAGACAGACAATAGCTAAATGCTAATTAGTGCCTAATTAAGAGAAAGGAATCCACAGCTGTATTTGTTTTCTGTTATCCATAGTGCACTTGCTACATAACAACTCCCTTGTCAGTGTGATACTAATTGAAATGATTCTAGATTCATGTTGTGTGACTGACAGCGCGTTGTGATTATATTGTATATTGCGCATCTTGTTTTGTGGCTTTGCATGCTTGGTAAGCCGAAGATAATAACCAAAGACAATCTGGTTAAAACAAGTTCACGGATGGCATGCAACCCATTAATTAAAAAACAACACACCTCGATGTATCATACTTTAGCACCGGGGGAAGCTTCACATAAATCAGTGAAGTCTCACTTTGGAATATTTATGGGGGTATGTTATCAAGCGAGCTCCTTCTCCTCCTACACCTATGCTATTCACTACCAACTAGAACTCTTTCCACCACTGCCTGCAACAAGATCATCTTAAAGGTTGCTGCAGATCAGTTTAATCGTTCTGCCAATCAAAATACTAAATCTGTAAACACTGCAAGCTCTGCCTTTTCATGTTTTTATCAACATTCACTCACCAAAAAACATGTTTCCTGCCAAAACAGAATCTTGTGGGATTGACAAATATTAAATGCTGCCATTTGTAATAAAAAGTACTTTTCATAACTTAACTGTTGTCATATGAAAGAAACTGCTTTAACAAACAGACTCACACACACAGCTTAGGTTTATATACTGTAGCTGTTCCAACGTCCTGGTTTGATTGTGAAATGAAATCGACCCTAAATGAGACCATTTACTGTTTTTACAACAATGCCACTTGTTTGCAATCCTGGTTATTTTAAAAGCCCATTTTTCCAGATCCATTATTAGTGTACCGCTGGTGCATTTGTTCAGAACAGCGATAAGACGGACGTGACATTTTTCTCACAGCTTGCAGGACAATGAGTGAAACCGTTGTATGTCATTACATTCTGCTTTCTTATTCCTGGGAAACTAAATTGCCTCGCATTGTATCATATTCTTTTGTGCTCCTGTTTATAGCTACTTACGTTGTACGTCTCCAGCTTGACTCGGTTTCTGAAGATGTGGGTTGTAAAGTTGGCTTTCTGAAAGACTTCATCGAAAGCATTCTCGTCCTCAGGAGCACGCAGACAAAAGAAAGACAAGGTAAATAAAAAAGCATTGGCAACGGAAGCAGTCTGTTATAGTTAGACCTCCTGAAAAAATGTGTTAAAGTAATTTTCTTGTCAGATGGGAACAAACTAGTTAGAGGAGTGTGTTGTAGCATAGCGTGTGTGTGTGTGTGTGTGTGTGTGTGTGTGTGTGTGTGTGTGTGTGTGTGTGTGTGTGTGTGTGTGTGTGTGCGTCTCTCACTGTGTCTCTGAGCTGTCCCAGTGTTTCTGCACTGTGACCTAACAGGGTCTCAGCTGTCTCCTGGAAGCATGTCACCCACTGGTTATCCCCGAAGTCTGCTAAGTTGGCCTGAGTGTCAGACAGAGAGGATGAAGGGGCGAGAGATTATTCATGTGTGTGTATATGTGTTATCAGAGAAGTTCCTCAAAGTCAACGGCACTGCATGTGTGATAAACAAGCGTTAATGATGTACACTTTGAGCTTACATTAAGTATGAGTCGGTATTTGAAGTTGGGGAACTCTCGGCTACACTTCTCGCAGCGGTACAGTCCGTTCTGTTGGTCGATGACCTTCTTTTTGCAGTCTTCAGTGGGACAGGCCTGGTACAGACAGTTCTCCTTACGAGTGTACAGGACCGTCGCCAGGCAGCTGAAGTAGTCAGCCTGGGATGAGAGAACAAAAGCGGGAGAAGAGGAAATCTTATTATGGGGACAGAGCTTTGAGATGAATGAAAACGACCAAAATCTAACTCCTGCAATTTGAACGTCTAAAAGGCTGTTATTCATTTGCAGGTGCTACCCCCTACACAATGTGCAAGGACAAATCTAACCTGCAATTCAAATGCCATACAGAAAAATCTAAGCAGATGAACACTCATTTAATTATAGAAATGTGTGTGCTGCATTTGTTATATATATATATATATATATTGAGAATATGAATGTGGATGTCTGGTCAAATGTCATGACACCTTTACACAATGTTTGAGGTGAACTGCATTAAATGTTTAATTTCGGCAACCCAGCCCGATCCCAGCGCAGTCAACATGTCGATGTATACTTGGGCAAGATACTTAACCCTGAGTTCCTGTTGTGTGAATGTTAGTTCCTATAGCAAGGTGCAGTGATCTGTATGAATGGGTGTGAATGGGTGAATGACTTGAAGTATGTAAAGCGAGGGGTCGTAAAGACTGGATTTAGCGTTATGAGACCCAGACTCCTGAGACCCAGAAAGAAAAAGGTTTCAAATTTCCTCTTTTTTTTTGTTGATAACACAAGTCTTTAGGGTGGTATTAACATAATGACTAACAAAAACTAAAAAAATATTTTTTTATTTTAGTTTTATTGCGTTTCCTTTGTAGAGGACATCGGGTGTTAGTTATGCGAAGCATAGTATACAAACAACATTAACATACAAGTACATTTAGACAACATTAGAGCACAACAACTCAATGCAACACATATTGAGCTCTCATTGGTAGTACTCCATCCTTTTTTGAAATGCAGAGATACATCTGACACTTGAGGCACTTGATGTATGTTTTCCTTACTGCATCCGTCTGCCATGACCCCTACAGAAACCTACGTGTTAGTTTTGGCCCACAGTGGACTCCATTTGTGTTGTGTAAAATAAAAAGTCAGCAAATCCCCATGTCCTCCACAGAGGACATTCATAAAAACATTTAGTTTTAGGTCAAATAAGTATTACACTGCTCTGGAAACTCACTACACTAACTCCTAAGATGTTCCCTTACTGTAATTAATTAAAAATATTACACTATCTTTCTATAAATAGTGCTTATGTTGATGGACGCCATTTTTAAATACAATGAAATTATCTTTTTCAAAGTCACACCCCCACATATGTCATATGTTTGAAAAGCCCAGGATGTCCTCTGTGGAGTACAATTGGACTTAATGCTGTGGCATGTATAACCTCAAAGTAATGGACCAAAACCCAATGTGTTCCACAGAGGACAAAAATGAATGGGTGGGTCTCTGGAGGATAAATACAGTGCATTTACCATTTAACAGGGACATTTCTCCAACTGGAGCTTTGAGAAAAGACTCCGACCTTTCAGGTTTAAAATGAATGGGTCCGAACAAGACACATCATCAGTGTTTGTTATGTAGGAGGATACATCTTGGTAAAGGAACAAGGCGCCATGTGGCTCAGGCTGTAAGAGCACAATGAGTAATCACCAGTACAAGGAACAAAATCACAAAACGGGTACGATGAGCTATTTTAGAACATGCAACACTTCTAACAGCTTTCTGTTGGGGATTAACAGCAGATCGGTTCAACAGGAAGCCGTCCTGTTTATAATAAACAAAAACACATTTCTAAAGGGCGAAGAAATATCTGTAATAAACGTTGTGTTGTCAATCACAGTAAGGCAACGGAGTAACAACTGGCCATGTGGCTTTAATGACCATCAAGTAGTGTTGGGTAAGATAATTCTACCATCAGTACAGAAAGAGTGCAGGAAATGAATTGCCCACATGTGCACCATGTCTGCGTTCAAACATTAATCTTATCATGGCTGCCATTACATTTGGTATTCTTAAATCATAACTTTGCAACACACACATGTTAAACCAAAGCCCGTCAAGGTCTATGAAATAAACAAAGGAGTACAAAAGCTCATTCTAGAGCAGACAGGAAATCCTTCAAGAGTTTTAATTCATTTGAATGCGAATAAATAAGCTGCTTAGGGTGTAAAGAGAAACGTTAAATAAAATGAGAGTAAACTTCGATCAAACTTGGCTTCATCAGTAAAACTGTTGCCAGCGAGTCAGTCCAGCTGGTAGAAGCGCGCTGTTTACACATCTCTATTTGACTTCCAAACAATCTTGGAACGGTTTGAAAAGAAAGCAGAGAGGGTTTGAGAGGTTTTTGCATAATGGATGCAAGATGAGACGATTTTCTCTCTCCCTGTCTAATACATAAATTGAGCTAAAGTACACACACACACACAGGGACGGCATAAACATAAGTTGCACCACTAACATGCAGGGCTATATGCAAACACCCTAAACTTCTTTCAGTTGTGAATTTAAATTGAAGTGCACACAGTCAAACAGAATCAAATTTCAATCCAGCGAGTCGCAGTAATTTAAACAGATATTAGCACCTAAAGTGGCAGAACTCACACTGCGTAAAATCAACAGCAAAAAAGTAACAAAATGCTAATTCTGGGGGAGAAGATGCTATTCTCTCATCCTGTGGAGAAGCACAGCATTCGATTTCCATAAATATAAAAAAAAAAAAAATGCATACAGCAGCTGAACTGTGTCTCATTGGGAAGAAGCACACTCGTGTACACGCCTGCATTCAAACAGTAACGGTATCTTCTACCAGGAGAGCGGGCCTTGAACAAGATGTTGGAATTACAGCCAGGATTTAAAATGCATTCTGAACAACAACTACAAGCAAGAGCTGGGCCAGACTCATTACTAATGTTGGCCAAAATGAGTCCATCAAAGACTCTCTCTAGGACGCTGGCCAACTTTACACACTGACTGAGCAATGCTGCTTTCTTTAAACAACCCACAAATTCTGTACAATTTTCACAGGGAGCATTTGATATGAAAAGTCCATAGTGTTCTCTGCATCCCCTGTGAGATGTTTGATGTTGTCCCCTCGACCTCTGCAGATACTTCTGTCAGACTCGGAGCTATCTGACACTTTGTTCCCGCTAGCCATCACTGACTCACATCCTCATAATCTGTCCATCTACCAGAACCCATGCCACACAGCAAGGACCCCTCAGAAACACTTACTAAGACGGTTTTTTTTAATTAGGAGAATGTCTCCCTTAAGCAACAGCCCTCTCCCCATCATCACTGCTCTCCCATGCTTCCGCCCGCATGCCTGCCTCATCACATTTTGCAGACATGGGCAGATTGAAGCGCTAGAAGGCTGAAGAGGTGGCGAGGCGGTGGGGGGGGGGGGGAAGGTGGCAGGAGGGTGGGACGCGGCACGCGGCAGGAAGGAAGAACACAACGCCTTGTTCGGGGGCTTGTTGAAGGCTCGGGATGCTGCTACAGAAAATATGAGGATAACAAGTTGGAAGTATCTGGACCATAGTGCTTCCATCACGACTACACCCCTCCAAATAAATCCCTCTGCAATTGTCATCCTCTCTGCTGTTCTTCTTCTGTTCTTTTTTTGTCACCCTCTGTATTCTAGCGTGTATATCGAAGCCTTGGGGCAAAATATTATCCTTTAGAACACCGAGAAGAACCTAGAGGAGCAGCACGACTAACGCTGCACACATATCAGAGACAAAAATATCCGCGCAGACTTACCTGAAGATTCACACACACTCACACAACTCTAACATTCTGTAAATAGTTTTCATTCTTATCACACCAAATCCCTATGTCACCTTCTGGCACCTAAATGCAATTAAAATGTGTATGTGGAAGGGCAACCAAGTGAAAATCTACTTCACATAATTGACGTGCCAACGTTAATGCTTGTCCCAAAACCCCAACACACACTGCTACATTAATTAGAACACACACACACACACGACACACACCCACACACACACACACACACACACACAACAACACACACACACACTACACACACACACACACACACAACACACACATCACACACACACACACACACACACACACCACACACACACTACACACACACACACACACACACACTACACACACACACCACCACACACACACACACACACACAACACACACACCACACACACACACACACATGCACACACACACACACACACCACACACACCACACACACACACACACACAACACACACAACACACACACACACACACACACAACACACACACACACACACACACACACACACACACACACACACACACACACACACACACAACACACACACACAAACACACACCCACACACACACACACACACACACACACACACACACACAGGTAGAATGTCAAATTAGATTCCTTCAAAGTATAAGCTAATCATTTGGCTTCCATTGTTATTACCGAAGCTGCAGCCTCAGAGTTTGATTGACAACCTCCTTAAAGCCGTTCAATTACAGAAACGGTTGGGGGCACAGAGGGTACAGAGAGAGAAAAATAAGAGAAGACTAAATGAAGGTAAAACTAAATGAAGGTAAAACCCAAAGAGAAAGAAAGGAGCGAAATCAGAGTTTGAATTATTAACACATTCTCACCTCTCAACCATTTCCCACACAACTGCCACTTAGCTAACTGTTCCTATCCTTTTCTAAATACCCCTTATCACTTCTCTCTTTTAGTCACCACACTCTTCACACTGTTTTAACTTGTTGTTCTCCGTGCCCTTGTTTCCTTACATCCTGCTACACAGGTTTGTAAGGTACATGAATTTTAAGTGTCTAGATTTCCTTCCCGGCTCTCACTCTCCCACGTTCTCCGTCCGCACTACTTCCCTTCTGGTAATGTTATGCCCTATAGGCTTCCTCAAACTCCAACAGATAATTCGAATTTTTCATTAGAAACGACATTGATCTTGAAGCTACCTCTAAGTGGCTTCTAATTAAACGGGAGGGATGAGGGAGACTAGTCGGAGATAAACGGGCGGCTGTGGCTCAGTGGATAGAGTGCTGGACTTCGAATCAGGGGGTAGCAAGTTTGAGTCCCACTGCAGTCAGCATGTCGTTGTGTCCCTGGGCAAGACACTTCACCCCAAATTGCTCCTGTGGGGATTGTCCACAGTACTGAATGTATGCAAGTCGCTTTGGATAAAAGCGACTAACAAATGACATGTAATAAACCTAATTTATTAGATAGAAAGTTTATGAGTGGCACGTACCATTACATTGCCTTTACTTTTAGTGGCAGCCTCGCATAATTCTGTACAATGACATTTCTTAAAATGGCACAAGGTTTAATTTCTCACATGCTCCTCCGGCATATGGCAGTTCAACCCCGTACTGCTAATATGCGAGCATCACTATCTCCCTCCCACTGCTATAACAGGAGAACCATGACTCTAATCCGTCAAGTCGTAAAAAGGCACGGCCTCCAACTGCTCTATTTACAATGAAAGAAGACTGGCTGTGGATTTGAGTTTGGCTAAATGCTTACATTCAAAAGGAGGCTGACTAAAATCCTGACTATTCACAGAAAATCTTCTTTTTAAATAAGAGGCCATCAGTGTAATCTCCATATGGCTAAACAATCACCATTCAGCTGTTATATCCTTTGACACGGCGATATTTACCATGTGATCTTTCCTAAAAGCCTCATGTTGAACTCAGCCGTGGGTCACACTGTATATGTAGCTTAAGAAAGCACAAGCCACAGTTACAGCAAGTGAGTGAAATGTGTCAACAAAATGCAAGACTCAAGCTCTTGATGTTTTTAATCCCTCAACATTTGGTTTTGATCCTGTCTGACTGCAAAACAGTAAAGCTGGAACTCTTTGATTTTCAAGGACTGACACCAAAACCCTGTGTTTACTGAGCTCGTCTTACATCAGCTCTGCTCTACTGTAGCTACGCTGATCCAACGTCAGTTCTAAGGGTTTCTTTCATTTGTCTTTAAACAGTAGCCAGCAGCCCAAGTGGGAGAATCTTTTTTTTTTTAATAAACATATTAGTTGCTTCCAGCTAAACCCAGAGATCCAACTAAACCTGCAGCGCAAATACCAATATTTATTTTTTAAATAATTAGGTAATATTCATATTCTGAGAATAAAACTTGAGAAAGTAAACTAATCTAAAACCCAAATAAAAGCAAGGTAAACTGTTGGAGTCACGGTTGTTTAGAGTTTTCATTATGAGTCTTCCTTTCTGATCCTATAATGTGGACTGCACTGAATCATGCAGGTCCTAAATAAATCTTCAACCAAAGCCAAAGAAACATAAATACTGTAAATGCCAAACATTCCGTAAAATGAAGACAAAAAACATTAATTTACAATATCAATAGATCAACAATCTTCAGATCCATATCAAATATAACTAATTAGCAACAGCCCCATTTCATTTTGATAGTAGTTATCAATCAGAATATAGCATAATATCAAAAGGGATGGAAAATAAAAAATGTAACCCAAATCGGTTTTATAGTTTCTTTCAAGGTTCAATTTATCCAAATGACCAAAAAGAATGCATGTGTAATATAGTATTTAATTGTAAGTATTCATTTGATATGGCCGGGTTTTATATTTTTCTGTCTCTGGTGTAATGTGGGTGAACTTATCCTTTGAAGTCACTTTTTCTTTCTCTTTTGAAGGTCAGCAGGTTTAATACTTCTTTAGATGGGTGGCATGCTATGTTGGTGTGTAAGGCTATAAGTATGCACTGCACCTTCTCTCCATGTCCCAGGTGTTCATTCTTAACTTCGCTCAGCATTTTCCAGTTGGTCTTTGTTCCGCTGCCCGCTGACCTGGTCTCTGTGAGGGATTGGCTGTCCAGCGCATAGCCTCCCTGGTCATACCTATTGTGTGGACATGAAAACACACATGTGCAAATAAATGTATGCTCAAATGCCCTGCACAACAAAAACAAACATGCATTATTTAGAGCGTAAGGATGATTTCTTGAGTGAAATGAAACAAAAACAGAACGTGTGCTGAGCTGATTAAGCTCAAGTAACACCTTCAATATTAGTCATCTGTAAACATGTAGAAGTGTATCATCTGGCAAAGAAGTGGATGTGAAAGCTAATGTGTGTGTTTGCTTACATACATGGAGGTGTTATATAAACAGACTTTCCTGTGAAGGAGATACTGCACTGTATCTTCTATTATCTAAAGAAACTGCCTACAGTCATGCCTGAATAACTCCCTTAATCCCGTAACTGATTTACAGCGTCAGTATCCTGCAATCTATGTCATCTGACATATGGCTTTCCATCAAGGACAAAGGCATTATTCTTCATTTAGCTTTTATATTTACATACATTTGAGTCCCTAAAGCCTGTTTCTTTAATGAGGCAGAAAGAAAAACAATGCTCGTCTCTCTTTCTTTCTACTCCATCTATAAATGTATGCACCTTTTTAATATTCCCTTTAAAATCCTATTGCATCAGCGTGATTCCTGCTCTGTATTCTAGTGGAGCAGAACAATCTAATCAAGGCATCATCCAAATTCATCAGTTTCCTTCAATTATGCAAACAAGCCTGGTCAAAACAATATCTCAAAGCAACACGCCGCCACAGGAACAGGAGTCAGACAGATACTTTTTGTCTTCGCAAAGTGCAGACCTACACTCCTTGAAAAACATTCAATGTCATTCCTAAACCGATGTCAGCATGTAAACAGGAGAGAGGAGCAAACAGCAGCAGAGAGAGAGAGAGAGGGGGGTGGGGGGGAGAAATGAAAGAAAGGACAGGCAGGGTGTTTTTTTAGCCCTTTGAATATAAAGATGTATTGACCAAAGACTAATAGAACTCAGGTTGAAGCTCCAGCAATGGAACATGCCCTCTCTCCAACACACACACTGTATTACTGCTATAAATAATGCAACACACACTTACACACAAATGGCTTTTGTTCCAGCAGTTAGCTTACTTTTCAAACCAGTCATTAACAACTGAAAGAATGAACATAATAGTGCCCACAGGAACCAACCAACCTAAACCTTTATTTATAGCATTCAGACGCTGTGAGTGCACTGTTTGACGTAGTTCCATCCAAGAATAGCTTTCAGTGTAACACACAAGCAGGCACATGCACACTAGGCATTGAAATGTATATACACACAACAGAAGAAAAAAGGAGAATAAATGCATTTATATTTCAGCGGTGGCCAGGCTTGGGAACAGCCTTAATGGGTGAATGAGTCATAATTTAAAATCCCTGCACAGGAACTGCTAATAAGAATCCAGTTTGATGCGGCTCACTGTGGGCCCATATTTCTGTGCACGTACAGTAGTAGTTCAGAGCGGAAATCCAGAAATATCCGCCTTCTGCTTTTCTGTTATTCCCTCAATCCTGTCTAGAGTCTTGCTGGGACTGGGGAGGCACATGCCACCAGTCCCCTGACACGTGCTCATCTGGGTGATGTGCATGTGTGAACCTGTGTTAGGTAGGGCTGCACATGTTGGGAAAAACTGACATTTCGTTTTTTGGGATATAAAGAGGAATTTCAACCAGATGAAGACAAAGTTATATATTTAAAAACATCCTCCTCTCTGTAGCCATAACACATCCATACAACCAATGTTTCTGTATGCAAATGTGTTCCTTTTTGCAATCAAATCTCACTTTTCTCCCTTTTGTTTCCTGTTCCTCTCTCAATTTCATGTTGTGGTCTCAGTGGCCTACTTTGGTTGTTTGATAAACTGATCAAGAATTATTGTGATTAGTTGTTTGTTGTGAAAGCGGAGACTGCATGTCACTAACTGGCAACTTAGTCGGAGAAAACTATATTCTATTTGATAAGTGGTTAGGGCTCAGAAGAGGACTTTCCTGCGGTATGGTTATGCACATGCAAACATCCCAGAGTCACTGCTGTAACTATATTGTGCAGCCCTAGTGTTTACTTTTTAATATATCTCATATACAGAACATAAACATGAGAATACAATCAATATTTTGTGTCCTTTGTCTACATGTAACCTGTCTTGTGTGGTGCTTGTGGTTGGATGTCCGTGGACAATTGTGTTTGTGTTTATGATTATGTTGGCGAGTGAGTGTCGGTGAATGAGTGAACAGCAGTGTGACTCACCAGGCCCGCAGACTAAAAGCCTCGGGTAAGTCTGGGTTGACCATGACTGTTGAACTGAACAAAGCCGAGACAGATCTGCCCCCAAAATCAGTCAGCCGAGCGCCTTTGACGGCCACCACGGGGTTAACAGAGCCGTCAAACTTCTCCGCCTGCAGAAAGAACAAACTGTGTCAGACAGTAATTGAGGGGAGAAAGATTTAGAACAAGAGACGACAAAATAAGTTGTTTTTTTGTTTCTTGTATGTGCAGTCTGTTCCTGCAGCTTGCAGAAGGCAGAAAGTAATATGTGGTAGAGTTTGCTTTTATAATTGGACAACCTACAAGTCATTTGAAAGTCATTTTTGGATTTTGGCAAAGAGGAGGGATTAGCTCTTGCAGATTGAATGAGCTTAGAGAAGAATAGTGCCATTTCATGCACATTCGAGAGTTATTTAGCCTTCAGCTCAAATCAGGGCCTCTGGTTCAAAACACTCCTGAAGGTCAGGAGAACGATTTGACCGATCCAAATTTTACAGTCCAGAAAGCCCACCCGCCTCTGTTCGCCAGAGCACACACAGATAATGTGCATAGATGGATGGATGGATGGGCACCTTCATAAAACACACGATTAATTACAGCCTGCTAAACAAGTTTTTATGATAAACCGCAAATCCATCCCTGAAAGCAAGGAAAGAGATTATAGTTATTACCTCCTCTCCCCACAGTGTGAGTGTCACCACTTTGCCAGTCGTGTCTATTAGCTGGAGGGCCCTCTTGGAGACTTCTCTGCTGGTCTTTGTGGTGATACGGGATACATCGTCGGCACTCTTGCACACTCCAATTACATCTACAGGCAGAGAGAGTCATTTTATATCTCCATCTATAGATAACTCCAGGTAGACAACAATCCAAAGAGGTAAGAAAGCAATTGTCTGTTATGTGAAAAGAGCCTTTTGAAATGCCTCCACATGGTGTAAAGTGTGAAAATACCCCCTGGATACACTACATTATATCAAGTGGTATCACATCATGAGCACTAAAGACCCAACACAGCAGAGAGTAGACACCCCTCTGATGTTGCCAGTTGTAGCAGACTGACATAAATGTCATAACATGCTGGCTAACACCCAGAACCACACTCAGAACCACAACAAACATGCTCATTCATGTTTCCTGTCATGCTCATGGACAAAACTTCATTCAGGATTACTGCTGAGCGCTGAGAAGGTGAAGAGCAGAGCCTAAAAGGACTGAAATTAAGAATTAAATCCGAAGTCAAATTAATTCAAGACGCTCTTGGAGAACAAACGGAGTGTTGAAAGGTTACTGAAAACAAAGCAAATAAAAAGACTGAATCAATTTCGGAAAATGATTATGAATTGTTATGAATGAACACATTTTAATCATATAACCAAAGGTTACATAGACTGTGTGTACAAACTGACATCCTATGATTGAATCTTTAGTCTAGAATTGACACGAACAAAATGTCTTCTATATTTTCAATCGTATGAAAAGAAAAGCAGCCAAATCAACGAAGCTATTAGCGGCAAAGGTTTGTCATTTTACATGATGTAAAACCTAATGGTTGAAAGGTACAGTTTTTCTTGTAAATAAACAAAGTTACCCTCTAAACTGCACTGTGTATGTCATTGACCTGACAATATGTTGAATGCCTTTCCTCATTTTAAACCAACATTTGAACAATTTAAAAAAGCTTATTTTTTATTGCATTGTTTACTTACTTACTACTGCAGTCTTCTTCATTGCCGTTGTTACAGCATTGTAATTTCATTTCCGCCATCTATTGAGTTATGTGTTGTGTTGTGTGTGCACATACATGTAACAGGGACCCACATGTAAAAGCATTGCCAAAAGCACTACTAGTGGTGAAATGCTCCACAGGGCCCCTTTAAATGGCAATGATTGAATTAGAGTTAGTTAATTTTCTGTCCGTCATCCCATGGTGTCACAACCAGAGCCCATGCATTAAATAAAATGACTGGGCCTAATTACAATATAGATTTTGGAAACCAGTCATTCTCTAAACGTCATCGTCCAGACTGCTACTTCTGCTAACCTTTCTCTAAACTCTCCCTCTCCCCCCTCCTCCCCCCTCCTCTCTTGCTCCGTGTCTGTGCCTTTTTAGCCCTCGATAATTCCATTATGATTGAGACGATGTCATCCACCTCTGAACTCCATTATCACCACAGGAACAGGCTGACAGTTCTCATTACCATGTTATAATCCCCTATTTAACAAAGGAGCAAGGAGAGCGGTAGTGGGGAGAGAGTGAATGGAGAGACAACAGATGATACACACAGGACGTGTAACGCTGCCCCTCTGCGAACACACTCCAGCAGGTAAACCCTCTCAGTGCATCTAAACAGTGATGCTCCGCTGGCTTACATTGCTCATAGTTTACGCTAATTTAGTGATGCAATATTACTGCTCTGAATGTAAACCTACATGAATCATCCACTCGGTAAGTTACAGTATGTGGTTGGCATTTCATAGCCACCATTAATTTAATCTCTAATATGGCATGTCGAATACTTAATTACAGCACTATACAATGCAAAGTGAAGTGCAATTTCACATCTGGGTGTGTGTGATAAAATGAAGAAACTGATGGATGTGGTGAGAAATGCGTCAGAGATTGCTCTTTAAATTCTGCTTCACTATAATACTCACTGGCCATTTAACTTTTATAACTTCTCAAGGCTTCTGTACTTTTCTGCTCAGACTGGAATGTGATTAAGTCATTATGTGTCTATTTGAATCAAAATGTGTGTCTATTTCATTTTGTTTAAGCAGCAATTAAAAAAAATGCTTAAAGTTATCATTATAAAGTTGTTTGGAAGATGTAATGGCCGTATAATGACACCATCAGCGGCCGTTTAATGACACCATCAGCTTTAAATGGGTCCTTATAAACCTGTACTGAAATTAAAATGATATACATTTAAATAATGCCCTACTCAAAAATAAGCCATGTACTTGCATACAGACCAATAGCAGTTTTAAAAAAAGGCACTCTTTGCCACAACTACAGAAACATCACTGTCACACCGGGGATAGTGCGCTGATCCTCAGATCAGTTGAGCAGGGGAACACTAGTTTAATCCCGCCATGACCCCCACTGCAGTCAACATGCCGTTGTGTCCTTGGGCAAGACACTTCACCCCAAATTGCTCCTGTGGGTATTGTCCACAGTATTGATGTATTGCTATCTAATATATGTAATATGTAATGTAAAGCACTTGGGAAAGCGCTAAAATAAACGCAATTAATTATTATTATTAGTATAATACCTGTACATCATCTCACTAATAACATAGAGACCAATCTACACATCGGTCGTCTCAATTTACCTGTCCCCGAGATAAGACATTTCTCTCAGGCACAGAGGGCAGGCATTGCAACTAACCTTCATAAAAACAGTGAATGGAGCATTATCCTCGTTACATCTCTACTCTTTCCAATATGTCTGAATTAACCTTCCCTCTGACCCCATCATAATGGTACAACTGGCATGAGCCTGTCTATTGCAAAACATTTAATCTATCATTTGTAATTGTCTGAATTGATAGAGTAGATATAGAGATGACCCAGCCGATACCCCAAATGTTCTAATACTGGCAGCCTGACCAGCCGTCCTCTGGGTTATAAATTGGGCCGCATGCTTTCTATTTTTCCCTGATAAAAGTATTTTAGGTTTCTTGGGTTACACAGTTGATGAATCACTCTTAACACTTGTTTCCACTGTTCACAAGGTTTGAAGAGGGAGTGAGTCATCTTCTGAGCCCGAACCACAGGCGGCTGATTGGTTGTGACACATATCTATCTTAATCAGTTGATTTAACTGTTTTCGAGACAGGATTGAAAACCATGCGCTTGAGAGAGAGATGTCAAAACAAAAACCTTGATCGGCCACACTTCATTTGCATTTACATTTGCCGTTCCCTCTAACAGACCTGCTATCTCACTCTTACGTTTTTATCTTTGAGTGGTTGAATGCTAGAAATGTATTAATCAATTCTCATTGATGAAATTCTTCTCTTACCAACAATGATGTCTGTATCGCTGTTCTCCAGCTCTGCAATGGGCACAAAGTCACAGTTCACTGTGGGAATGCCCTGACTGTCATCACATGGCACGACGGATGAGTGAGCGTTGAGGGTCATCTCGTAGTTGTTCTTCAGTGTGGTGAACTGTTTGTTAGCTACCTTCAGCGTAGCCTTAGTGATGTAGTACACCTACAGAGAAAGGATGAGCAAAGTCATCAAATCAAAGCTAATCAGACTGATTATTTCCTGTGAAGTTAAAGCAGCGTGAACCAATCGATTGGGTAACCATTTTATTGATCCTGCAAAGGAAATTATTATTTTACAAAAGAGCCTCTTGTTCCACCCAAAAATCTTAATAAGAAAGGAAAAACCTTCAGGTCCTACTAAAATGTGGTGTCATATCAGGCCCATCACTTCTGTAATTCACCAGAAAATAAGCGGCAGCTGAGAGCAAGTCTGCTAAACAGCTAAATGTAAAACTCAATATGCGAGGCACACTTCTTCGTTTACTCCCCCAACCCTCCAATATTCCCCCTCCATCTCTCTGCCTCTGATTTTCGCTCTATGACTTGCTTGCTTTCCTTCCCCTCTCTCTCTGATTTATCCCACACAGAGATGAAGCTAATGTGATAAGCATTCTGGCCACTCAGAGCCAGTCACACCCACTCACTGTTCTGTCAATACTCCGATCACGAAGGGAAGACGGATTCATTCCTTTATTTATCTTTTGAGGGCAGAGGGCACAAATTGGATGTGGGGCTGTTGGGAGTCCATGTCAGCGGCTGATACCTGAGCCCGTGTGACGAGCAAAACGATGGTCGGGGTTAATTGAGTTATTAAGCTCTGTGGACACACGGAGTTGAGCAAGAGCTTTAACATGTGTTCTACCTATCGTTCATTTCCAAATGGCATGTTCAGGGTGAGCACCACCCATTTGAACACAAACAGCACGCACTGGAAAGGCCATTGTTTCTTGCATGAACAATAGCCTGAGACCATTGCCAAAGCCTTATCGAGGAAAAAAGGTGATATCTCTCCTTGTTTGCCCTCCTACATCTGTATACCTCTTCTGACATTTTTACTCTTTATCACTTGTTTATTAATGCCAGCCTTGTGGTTTTTTTATGCAATATTCTGGTATACTGTGAACATGACTTCAAACTTCGAAGACCTGAAGGCACAAGTTTCATTTAAAGGGCAGCACTTATACGTTTTATTGTTAAAAGGAATTCTTAAATTTGAATTATTTCTTAAAATTCGTTAGTATTTTAGGGATCCTACCATACAACATAACATTATTGTGTAGTTGTTTTTGCAGGCCTCCAGCATCAGTGTCAGTTACATAACCTTAGCTGGAGCTGGACAGTAAAGCAGATCCTCGCTGACACAGGGTCTTGAATCAGGACCCTCGGGATGAAAGATGATCCTATTAACGAATGCTATCTCCAAGTTTTTTCTGAGAAATGACTGTGCGACAAGATTAAAAATAATGATAATGTTTCACTGATTTTGATCCTAGTTATAGTCGATATGATAAATTCTAGAATCCCAAAGGATTTTTTATTATTTTATAAAGCCATAGCTTATCTGATGATCTTGTGTTGTTAGGCTTTCAAGAAATACAAATATATATTACAACAGTCATTTGAAATCAAATAAAAAAGTGGGTATTCAAATATGTGGGCCTTTGACTAAAAAAGAAGCCTGAGCAAATGTTGTTTCGAAGATTTTTTTGGTAGCTGTAATTCCTCTTCTCTTTACTTGCTGTAAAGAGATGTACCGTGACTACAGTCTAAGAGAAAAGTGAGAAAATCAAGCGTCATTCTTCTTGTGTGTTTCGTTGTTTGTGTTGTAGGTTTTTCTAATGGATTGCAAGTCTGACAATAAAGTAGAGGGAGATGATGTGCCGAAATGTGTTGTGATCATCCTGGAAGTAAAAGTGCCAGGACACAACATTGGCAATAAATCACCATGTGACTACCAGGATTAAGACACCAATATGAACAAATGAAAACTGTGCATTTCTTCACCCCATTGTTTCCAGTGTTTAAAGTGATTGCTTCGCTTCTAATATGTAGAGAAGGAGTGAGCATATTGACACAAAATAATAATTATCTCTGTATCGATTACTAATGCTGGAATATAAACTTTATAAACACGTCGGGAGGCGTGTGGCGCAGTGGGTAGAGCGTTGGTGTTCGGATCAAGGGAGCACAGGTTCAAACCCCACTGCAGTCAGCATGTCATTGTGTCCCTGGGCAAGACACTTCACCCCAAATTGCTCCTGTGGGGATTGCCCACAGTATTGAGTATGCAAGTCACTTTGGATAAAAGCGTCTAAACAAGTAACATCCATGGAGAACACAGCCTGCTGGACTGGTAGCCATTTCAATACATTGGTGATGGATGTAATATTTACATTTCATTTAGCTGACGCTTTTATCCAAAGCGACTTACAATGACCAATTACAGGGACATTCTGCCTGGAGTAACTGAAGGCTAAGTGCCTTACTCAAGGGCACACTAGTGGAGGTGTTCCTGGCGGGATTTGAACTCACAACCTTCCGATCTTCAGCCCACCTCACTATCCATTAGACCACCACTATCCACTAATATCAGCAAACAAACCAACAAAACAATATCAACACATCAGAAGTTTTTTCACACTGTTCTCAGCATACTCCTGGCCTCATATATCTTCCCAAATGCTGTAAATGTCTCAAATAAATAGCATATATTTCAGAAAAATATGACATAATAAATCCCTTCCACAAAATCCTCTAATACTTGCCTCCGGCTCATTCATTGGTCAGAAGTCCTGAAGGCATTAAAGGATTTTGCAGAAGGGTTTGTTAGGCACTCTTTTACGTATGATATATTAGTTTGAGGCGTTATGCGCATAAAATATGGATAACTGAGCTTAGAAGCTTACTCTGCAAGTTGTTTGTGGATTTTACAGCCTTTAGATATTGTCTTAATGTTGTCAACTTCATCAAAGAAATGAAATGGCTGCAATGCTTCAAAGCTCCTTCTGAAACAATGCAAATACAAACATTTCTTTCCAGTGTTCGAAGCTGGAATAATAATGTGTAACAAATGAACTAAAGTTTATTTTTAAGGGAAGAAACTCTCATCACTTCCAGTAAGGATGGGTGTGGGTGAGGGGGGGGTCTGCTCACCTTGCCTTGCTCCACTAGAGAGAAAAACTGGTCCACTTCTTTGTTGAACGCTGTGACCTTGATTTCTCCCTGTTGAGCAGCACATTTCCATCAAACAACATTTCGCAATGTGTGACATATGTTTGACATGCATGGTATATGGTACAAAACTGATATTCAGGCCTCTCCACTCGTCTACTCACACTCTCGTCCAGTACTTCAAAAGAGAAAAGCCTTCCGTCTCCTCGAGAGTTTACTCCAGGTGCGGACGCTGGACTTGTTGGTGACTCGGACTCTGATAGTCCATCTAAGAATACACACAGAGCGTATTATAATGAATCAGAGCTGCCAAAGCATATGTCAACAAAATAAGGTAAATCACGCGATGTGCAATAAGTGATGTTGACGGAACTTAGCCCAAATGGCCCTGGTGAAAACATTAAAGAAGACATTTGTTGCATACGCTTTTTTTCAAATATTTTACCTGCAGGATGAACGAGAATGCCTTAAATCAGATTTATTTTATGGGTATTCACATATTACACGTAACTATAACAAAAAAAACACAGTTATGTTCTTCAACTTAATTAAAAGTGTAGAAGTTTTCAGGTCAAACCAAACAGTGAAGAACGCTGCAGAGACAATATTAAAAGTTTCTTTTTTTGTTAATGAGCATCACAACTCTTACATAAGGAAACTGGATGAGTGTCTCCTTTTTTTTTTTTTTAAGTTTCATAAAAGAAAAGAAGAAAAAAAACACCCAGCAACTTTCTTTTCAAAGAGTGAACTAGGTGTTCATCTGCCAACTCCGGGATGCATTTAAAATATACCTCTTGTTCTGTTTTTAACAACAGCCAGCCTAGCTCGGGCAGTTTATGCAGCAGTGAGCTTTTGACTTGCGTTGATAATTGTGCAGTTGAGGATATTCATACCATAACTTTGCCTGCAATTAAATCCCCTATCATGAGAGCAGATGCTGGCCCGAGTGAACCTCATTCCCTGCTCAGTATGGATAAGACTGCTACACCCAGGTTTATGGCAGCCAAAAGCCCAATTATACTCTGCTCTAGATGCTATTACTTAACAGTGGGCAGAAGGGATGAGAAAGCTGTGCAAATGGCCATATAAGACCATGTAAACAAACACAGCATCCCACACACGCCTTTCTTTTCACGCTAACATACGTAGCAGACACACAGCTGCTGAAGTAATCTGTTTTGCTCACTGTATGGTACTACTCCCCACTTCAAAGTTAGAACAGTCATCAGTTTGTTACAACACCTAGAGGCAACAGTTAACTTTACAGCTTGCAATTTCAAACTGGGCTACAATATCAGAGTTCATACATGAGAGAGAGCTGCAGATACCTTTAGTTCAATCGGGTAAATACAATCTCGCTATAAAGACGGTTCCCTTGTCTTTTGTGGCCAATTTGAAGGCGAGAGACTTAAGCTAAATGAAAAGATAAGAAGCAAGGGGGGGGGTGTGGTGGGGGGGGGGGGGGGGGCAGCAAGTAAATTAAACCCCGGAGGAAGTAAAGAAATTGTGAGAAAAGAAGGAAGGGGGGAAAAAAACGAGGTTGTGCCAAATCCCCACCAAGGGTATAAAATAACAAATCAAAACCTCAGCAGCAAGACCATAAAGACCCAGCAGGACCTGCCGTTAAAGTCTACCTTTCTGAGGAAAGATTGGTCATTTCATTTCCATGCAGATGGGCTGAGTGCCACGCAAATCCATACACACACACACACACACACACACACAAGCATATAGGCAATTGATAAAGAAAAACTGAATGCTCACGCAGGCATAAAGATACATATTTTAAAACATGCCCCAAAGTGAGTCTCTGAAATAGCAGCAAACAGGAAGTAGAGTCACAGCATGATAGGAAATTGTTATAACGAGTAGAAGGAAAAAAACATTGTTTTCCTAGAATCTTGGAGGAAATGCATACAGTCAGCTTCCTCGCAAAGTTAAGTTTTGTTTAAAGGGGACCTATTATGCACTTTTTCCTGTCTTTTATACATCCAGCATGTGTCTCCTCTGTGTAAAGAGATTCTGAAAGTTTCAGGAAAAAGATTCGCTCACTTTTTGTCCTGATCCATTTATATAAAAACCTGTCTGAAAATGAGCTGATCAGATTTTGGCCACTTTATGATGTCATAACGATTTGTTGGCTTGTGTAACCATTAGCCAATAACCAACCAAGGTAACACCCACCCCCCCCCGTCCTTATCACCTGAATCTCCTCCTAGAGCACCATTGTGTTCTTTTTAACCAAATATCTCTCAGAGGGGCGTGGGGAGTGGCTCCTTATTTCATCTAAAGTAACAGACAGAGAATCAGCACTTTTGAAACAGGGATGAAACAGAGGGGTTTATGGGATGCTGCAATGCATGATCTGTTTGGTATTTGGAGCCAAACACTTCAGAGACATGTTTGTATATATCTGAGACATATAATATATTGATGAAAAACAGTATAATAGGGGACCTTTAAAGAATTTTAAAACTACTGTACATATATGTGAAAACAGGGCACATTTAGAAATGGACACACCTTAAAACTATACTTGCTTTGGTAAGGGTTGAGGCCTGCTATTGGAATCACTTTTGTTGAAGAAAACCTGGAGAAGTGCTGGACAAACCTTTGTGGGTGTAAACTTCTGAGGGGAAGTTTCATTGGTGAAGCTTTCATTGGTGAAAACTTGGAGGTTGAAGCCTCCATGGGTGATGCCTTCATGGGTATGGCCTTCATGGGTGAACGCCTTCATGGGTTGACGCCTCATGGGTGATGCCTTCATGGGTGATGCCTTCATGGGTGACGCCTTCATGGGTGACGCCTTCATGGGTGACGCCTCCATGGGTGATGCCTTCATGGGTGACGCCTTCATGGGTGAAGCGTTCATGGGTGATGCCGTCATTGGGGGGACTTTCCCACAAAACCACTTCCCCTGTCCTCGTGGAGGAGAACGGTCTGCAGGGAAACAAAGTTAGATTGTTCCTGAATATGTGTATACTCCAAATGTACAAGATGAAACTTAAAATAGTGATTAAAGAGTAGTACATTTATTGAGCAATTACACTTTTCAAAACCTTAAAAAAACAAATTCTAAATGTGGAGCCTACGTGGCCCACAATCAGACATGCTCAATCTGAAGCTGCTTTCCCAAAATATCATCACTTTCTTCAACTTTTGGTACGTTCTGCAGCTAGCCCTAAAACAAAGTGTGTAAATGTTGTGTACAGTATGTATATAATTGGGACATACTACTTTATCCAAATAGGCACCTTTGACATTGACTCTCTTGCTCACATATCTACTGTAATGCAAATTGTGACCAGATTGCACTTGTACATCCAGGTATTTCAACAAATTGCATATAACGTACTGTGTTTACTAATCTTTTATGTTTGGGAGTTCTTGAGTTGCTAAATACCCTCCAAGCACATGCAAACGTTTTCCTGAACAGTAGATGAGGTTAAACCACTTAATTTGATGATAAGGGTACGTAACTGGGTAGAACACCTACTGGCTTTTCCAAGAGGCAATGTGGAATTAATGAAACACTCTAAAAATATATTTAGCGATTATAAAACATTAGTGGTTGTACTGTTATCTGATCATTGAGCGGCAGCCAAATGATAAACTGCCTGAGAAAATTAAACTCTCCGCACAGATCTCCCTGTAGAGTTACTAATTTGTAAAGTTTGTGCCAATGAATGAAACCGTTTTTCTTTAGGGTAATACTGCCCATCGATTATTAAATGTTTTAATTACTTTCCTACAGTATGCCTTTCGATCATTGGAAAATAATAATGAAATATCCGAATATCAGTACTGACATCAAATATACATTTCTAAGTACAAATTCCTAACCACATTCACGAATCTGTGTCAGAGTAAAACAAAACCTTTAGAGGGTATTATACCTTGTATAAAAGGTAACATGAATGTTTTAAATAGGCAGTAATGTGTTTAGCAGTATGAATCAATGAGGAAGCCTTCACTTGTATACATAAAAATACAAGTAATATCTAATCAATAAAGCTTAAAATGTTACAGTATGCTGTTACAATGAATTACTAGGTTGATCAAGTTTTCAAGATTAGGTAGGTGTGCACTAAATCCACCTTACTTTGACCCAATATAAAAAGAATCACAGACAAAGACCAACACAACTACAAAAGCAAGTTAAGAAAAGTTCCATTGTTTTTAAATATATCATCTTTTATATTTATTTAAAAAATGACAATGCAGCAAACTTGAACAGTTCCGACCGGCCTACAGAATTGCAAGGGTGTTATTCTCACCTCCCACAATAACGTTGAATCAGCCCCATCAGCAGTGACTCAGGCTAGATAGTTGGCTGTTGTCAAAATATATTTTGCTCAATTCTAATTTTGGCTTGAAAGGCGTGCCATATTGAGGAACAGCATTTGAGGGGAAGAATTGTCAGGGATAAAAAGGCGCAATTCCACAGAGACCACTCCGCTGATATAAGCTCCTGTTCTGGAGCATAACAGCAACTCACCTCGATGATACCCTCCCCTGCTGGTGTGCAGTGTGTGTGTGAGAGTGTGTGAGAGTGTGAGTGTGTGTGTGTGTGTGTGTGTGTGGTGTGTGTGTGTGTGTGTGTGTGTGTGTGTGTGTGTGTGTGTGTGTGTGTGTGTGTGTGTGTGTGTGTGGTGTGTGTGTGTGTGTGTGTGGTGTGTGTGTGTTTCATGTATCCTTGGGGGAATCACAGATTGAACAGCTATTTTCAGGCGAGGGGTAATTAACATCAATATTCATACACACGCCATTCGGATGGAGTGTTTAAAGGAAAGATTGCATGTAGTGAAGAAGAGACGAGCTGATGATAGGCGAGGACGGGAGAAGAACAGAGCAAAAGAGCGGGGCACAGAGATTGATCAAGATCCTCATTTTTGGTGATTAAGATGAGTACAAGAGTCCTAATATGTCGGCCACTAACGTATTCAACGCCCCCGTTTGAGGAGAGTGCTTGATGGTGAGGATACAACAGGAGCAGAGAAAATAAAAAATATATAGACAAGGAAAGCCCATAAATAGAGAAAGTGATAAGAAAGTGAGAGCGTGTTCAGAGAATAAGTGGCAAAGTGTAAAGAGTTGTGAGGACAAAAGAAACCTGCAGAGAATTGTTAGTAATGAATAATGAATCATTTTTTAACTGCACTTCAGCGAGTGCAGATCTCTTTTAGAATTTAAATATCATTCTGCGAAGCAGTTTTAAGGTGGTCTATTTCAGGGTTGCTGCTGATGAATATTTAAATGGGAACACAGAGACGTCAGTGACGACTATGTCATGACCTTTGGCTCCACACCTAGTGCTTACAGATTAGTTTGTTTGAAAACAATACAGAATATTAATGTTGGTAATATTTTCTATATTTTTGTATTTAAGAGAGAACAATGTAACTTATGACTGACAGAGATTACAAGTCATCCATACATGTACATTAATAATAAATGCTGAAAATATTTGAAATTATTCCATCAAAGTCTGCTGACATCAGGGGAAGATCCTCCCAGTCCGCGCTGCCAGAGGTCAGTGCTTCCCTGCAGATTAGAGTACCCGTGGCTGATAGGGCGGGCTTTTACATTCAGCTAATTACGCTTTCTCGCTTCCTGCCTCTGGACTGTGATCTGGATATTGATCAAGTTCATCATAAGGATGATATGTCTCAGAAAAGACAAGAAGGAAGGAACCAAAAGGTGTATGCTAGGTGGAAGTATTTTTAAAGGCACAGCAACACCATTAAAGTCAGAACCTGTTCAGTGCTTGATCGGCTGATCTGATTGGACAGTACAAGAGCAGACAGTGGACTGTTTTAGAAACAGCTATATTGTAAGACTTAGTAATATTATTGAATAATTGTAATACTGTACATTGAACATTTTTCATGTTTATGTAGAAAACATAAATGATTATCCGTGTTTATTCTGAATCAACATATTAAATCATAACAAACGGCTCCAACTGGCTCATTCAGGCACAATGTTTATCCTAAAGAGATTCACAGATTATTTATATTAGTCTTTTAAATCTAGCTTGAGCCTGCTTAGGATAGACACACCGTCACAGAAGAATGTTTTACATGATTGGGCTCTATGGCTTGTTATATTATTTTAGTAATTACCACATGTATTTGTGTATTGATGTTCATTTTACAATGCTCTAATGCAGCAATAGATCTGTAATTGCTGTTGAGGCATCAGGCAGATGATGTGCGTCATGAGGGGTAACCATCTCTTAAAATCCACATCGTCCAGTTAAAACCATTCCTCCATCTTTGCAACTCTGCCTCCTTCTCTCTCACATTCCCTGTTTGGAGGAGCTGAAGGACTGTGAAGAGGCTTGAACCCCGACTCTCTGATAAAACAGGACCCTACCCAGTCTTAACACTCACAGCTCATTGGAAACAAATCATTTGTGGCACTTGCATAATATTTCAACGGCACACAAATGTATCGCATTGCTATTAACAAAAACAAAGTAATTAAACACATTCAGTAGGAGATACAACTTACTAGTGAGACATTATGCATAAGGCTTGTCTTTGGCTGTAGAAAAGAATGCAGGAGTGTTTCATCAACAGAACAATAAATAGAGCAGCCAGTTTTCTGTATTTGGCGGCGATCTCTTGAGGTAACACGACTCAAAGGATCTAACGAGGAAGTTTGATGAACTCATATGCAAAGCCTCATCTTTGCTCAGTGAAATTAGTTGACTTTCTCTCTCCCCCTCTGTCTGCCTGTGCATCGCTATGAGGGGAATTCAGTCCACAAAACAATATTCATGAAGCCATGAACTGGAGGAGCCATCGGCCCACACATCTCCCTCAGCCGCCACAACACACACACACACACACACACACACAACACACACACATACAGCACACACACACACACACACACACACACACACACACACACACACACACACACACACACACTCACACAACACAGCACACAACAACACACACAACACACACACACACACACACACACACACACACACCACACACACACACACACACACACCACACACCCACACACACACACACACACACACCACACACACACACACACACACACACCACACACACACACACACACACACACACACCACACACACACACACACACCACCACCACACACCACACACACACACACACCACACACACACACACACACACACACACACACACACACAACCTACAAAGGAACAATATATACCAAGCACTCATTATCCACCCACATCCTACATCCTCCACCGAGGAGGACTATTGGGTTATGTTTCTGCCACACAACAAAAATCAATGTGGATGCTGAGAGCAGCTGGTGGTAGGAAAGCAAGTGAGTGAAACAAAGACTCAGCTAACAAAATAGCACCCAATAAACACACAGGCTACGTTCGGCATGATACATGGCACCCAGCCGTTTTGGCAGAACACCAACCATCATTTTGAGTTCCCATTCTGTTATAAAAAGCTGACTGGTGGTAAAACAGTCAAAGGTGTGAGTTTATTGTCTCCACCAGCTGCAGAGGCCAGTGGATAAGATAGTTCCCTGCTCTGAATAGGTGAGCAATAAATAAGATAAAAGTGCAAAGTGTGATATGAAAATAGAGCAAAGGAGCTGCAGTCTTCCATTACATTGGCGTTTGCTGTCGCTACCCCTCCACCTGGTTGAATACCATGCTGTGCTTTGTGATCCGGTTTCATCTTCTTAACTGACGCTCAGTCTACCGAATTTGAACACTGAAGTTCTATGAGTATCAAAAGAATGATGCCAGGATGATATTTTTAGTCTATATTCCCAGTTAAAGTTTGGTATAGTAAAAGCGATTGAAAAACAAAGACTTGTAAAGTGTTGAGGAAAACTAAAACAGAACTTCAATCTATCATCAACACTATTCTTTCCAAGGGTACATGGCTCCCTCTGTTGGTCACATGAGAGGTTGAGTATTGAGATTTTCTATAAAACATCCAAAACGAACAACAATCTCATCAATCCTAAAATATCCTGTTATTGTGCAACTATCATTCAATAACTCCATATTCACAGTGCAACGGAGATTAATAATGACTGTCTTAAATAAGAAAAATCAACAAAATATGTTGAGATCTGAGAAATGTAATAATTGATTGTCTAAAAAGAAGAACATTTTATTACTAAACGATGGTGAATAAGTTATACATTGAAAACTACACATTCAAAGTAAATATCAATCAAGAATTCCTTCTGCATGATTCCAGAACAAATAATTAATTCTGTGACTTCTTGTGAACAAAACTGTATTCACCTCAATCACAGCCCTTATGCTCAGTGCTTCTAACTCAGCTAAATGAAGAAATTAGAACTTGTTTACATCAGTGGGTATTTAATGACTGTAATCTGTGTAGCAAATGAGTAGTATCAATCTAAATGACATGTAATATCACGAACAGAGGGCCTCTGGAGGCATTGTTTTGTTGTGTTTGAGAAAGATTTATTCTTAAGTCTCTGCCTTGCAAGCGGTGGCTTGGAAAAGCAACCCATATATTTTTGGTACTGTCAATACTTTACTGGCTTCAAAACACTAAACTACACGATAGCTTTAAATACTACACTCACTGCTTTTGTTCCACTTAGAGGGTCCACGTTCTGCTGCAGATGGAGGGGAGGCCGGGACAGAGGTGCTGGAGACAGACTCCTGTGAAGATGACGTCTTAACTGCAAGTTCAAAAACACCATAAGGAACATGAAAGCCATTTTTAATGGATCATGAATTCATGAATGCGCATTTAAAAAAAGTCATACCAACTGTTTCATATGGAGTGGGATCTCCAATCTTCCCTCCAGTTTCTTCAGCAGACTGCAACATCTCCATGTCCAACAAAATCACCACAGACCTGGAAGTTAAAATATGTCTAAATTAAGGGCAAGAACCAAATAAATATAGAAAAGGAATCATGGAGGAAATGCAAATGAAAACACATACCTTCCATCTGTCAATGTATTGTTGACGGACTTCTTCACCAGAAACACACTGTTAGGTACCAGGTTGTCTTCTGTCAGATTGTTTAACTGTGTAGCCAGTAGGAAGGCTACATTCAAAACACATACAAACATATTCATGTTCATTCCAAAATAAAGATGACTCAACTGATTTATCCATAACTGGTTCTAGATTATCTCCTTAGGCATGATTTTCTTAAAAAAGAGACCGTATATAATTCAAAACTAATTCTTGCAATGCTTAATAATGAATGACATTACAACTTGCTACCAACATTTCAAACCCACAGTCACCGATTTGGCAACTACAAGATACTCACAAGACCAAGTGTGCTGACCATCACTCATCCTTAGCCGGTACCTGGGTGGAGAGCCAGTAGAGACCTGGCGGATGTTCTGACAAACACAAAGGGAAAGCAGGATTTTATAAGTACAAAAAACTAACATAAAGGCTCAACATGATCACACTCATTTGACAGTAACATTAGAAATCCAACTGCCCTGTGCACATAGTACAGTAAACAAAATATAAACATTAATAATAATCTTCATATAAGCATGGCTGTATTTACTGTATAGAGACAGCATAGACATTAGAGGCAATGCAGAGAGTGAGAGTTTACTTACAAGTATCTGCAGCACGGCATTGTTTACCTCTGAGCCTTTTATCAGGGCCTAGACAACAACAAACATGGTTAGTATCTGCTTCCTGGCCCCATCCTGTCCCATGTCACATTGCCATGATACCAAAGTTACAGTAAAACATGCATAAGAGATTAATTAAGTGGCAAATACATGTACCGCCCCTAGAAGGTAAGCGTCAACAACATGGACACCAAATGTTTAGGAAGAATTGGTCAAATAGTGAGATTTGAGTCACAACACATAAATACAGCGTTGTTTTGCGTCAATATTTGAATACATGAGGCAAGCTTGTATTTATTTAACACCATTAACACAGAAAACTGGATTTAAATAACATAAAACGTTTCACAATTTGGTAGGTTAATGTTAATGTTGCTTTATATTCAGCTGACAAAACAAAATCTCATTAGCTGACAGTGCTAACAGCTGCAGAAAAACGACGACTCGAAGCTAGTATTACTATTTCAAGTCAATAAAATAAACAGTGTATTATATTAACATGTACGCTTACTTCAACTGCCCCCTTTGTGAGTGTTACACTCATTTTCCCAGGTAATGTGCTTCTCAAAGCCAGCAGACTTTAGGTTTTGTTGTGCGTAGCCAGGTAAAAAAGATGGTAACCTATCGCGAGAGAAGAGAGACAAACGATATTTGCAACACGGATTTTTTCGGATATTGAACATTTATGCCTTCAAAATAAAGTACAGTCGGTCAGGAATTGTGAAACGCAACTAGAATTTTTAAAAACACGTAAGGTTAATTAACATGAACGAAAAAGTCTGGATATTTTACACTCAGTATTCAATTATGATATTCATGCATTGCAATTAATCACCATTGTTCCCTTTGGCTTAGATGTTAGGGTATTATTTTGAAGGTTGGGATCGGAAGTTGTCTTTTAATCTACGCTACCTTGACAGTTGTGCTCTGTGTGCCGCGAGCACGCGTGAAACGAAACTCCAGAAGTATCGTCCGGTGCGCATGTGGTTTATTTGTAGTTCATGATGGATCTTCCATGCATCAAGTGGCAAGATTATGTTGCACAAAAATGGACCGTACTCGACCCCGAGCTAAAGGAAAAGTTTACAACCCTGCTTGAAATAGATGATGTTTTCAAATGTAGCCTAACTCTGACAACGTGAGTAGCTAGCTTACTGCTGTAGTTAGCTGCTTGTGGGTTTAAAACGTATAATATGAGACCAACGTTACTAACTAAATAATTTTATTTAACTATCTGTAAACAATTACCAATAGAATATGTTGAACCCAGAAGCTTTAACTCAAGTTATAACTTAGTAGGCTTCTTGATTAGTAGGCTACTTAGTTTGTCTCCATTTGTGTTTTAAAGCCAGGAGGATCTGGACTTCGTGCAGTCCATCTCTGCAGCATACTCCGTACAGAAGGAGGCACAGCAGGCAGCCAAATGCAGGGAGAGGGGAAACTCCAGCTTCAAGATCAGAGACTTCACTGCAGCTGCTCTGCACTATTCACAGGTGAGTACACATATTACTCTATTGAGCCCTATGTGCCAGAAAATAAAAACACAAGACATTATGTTTATGTCAGTCATGGCTGAAGCAATAATATAATGAAAATGTAAATTGAATATATTTTGAGAACCCCATTGTTTAAATTAATTTGTGATTATATAGCATGACATGTCTAACTGTCGAAATAAATACATATTGACATCCAGTGATCTCCCTCTCGTTATGACAGGGAATATGTGTTGCGCCTCTAAGCTCGGAGCAGCTGCCTCTCTGCTATGCAAACCGCTCTGCTGCTCTCTACCATCTGCAGCACTACCAGGTAAGAAATAATAAGAAAGTGTGGCACTTGCTGTATCATTAAAGCCTGTTTAAACCAGTTCTGCTATATAGTGGCTGTGTGAAAATGGGCCTGGGGAAATCTAACACATTGTGTCACCATTGTGTGATCAAAAGGTGACACAATCAAACAGTTTCTGCACATGATTAACATGCTGTTCACACTAAAGTCCATTCATATAGCAGATGCTTTGCAAGAGCACATACGTATGTGATTTGAGATTAAAGTGCATTATTTACAAGCCCACCACCCAATATATATTTGGAGGACAGGCAAGACATTACATACAGACCGTGTGTTCAGGGCATATGTATCTCTTATGTATTCTATGCAATCTTTATGTTTGTTTATGTTTATCTCTTTTATTGAGTGTGTTTTATTTTCATCTTTTTAGGCCTGGTTTAGTTTTAGATCTGTACTCAGTCCTAGACTTGTTTTTGCTTATAAATTAGTTATTAAAATGTCCATCTTTATATTTTGCTCACAGTTCAATGATTCTTATTATCCCTCAGGATTCCCTTAAAGACATTGACAGAGCTCTAAAGCATGGCTACCCCTCTCATCTTTCACACAAACTAGAGGACCGTCGCACACAATGCCTCAGGCACCTCTCTGTAGATCAAAAGGGAAAAGACAATCCTGCCTCAAAGAATCCTACAGACGGAGGAAAAGGGACATCTGTTGGACCTCTTTCATTTGGGATTTGTCCTCAAGCTGCTGTTGGCTTCAGCCCGGAGAAAGGGCGACACCTTGTGGCTGCGGAGAGAATAGCAGCTGGGGAGGTGCTTCTGCATGACAGGCCATACAGCTGTGTCCTTATTCCAGGGATGGAGGAGGTACAAGGTAAAAGAGGAAGGCAGGATGCAGAGGGAGGAGTGGAGCACCGGCGCTGTCACAGGTGTCTGACTGAAACTCTGAGTCCTGTGCCGTGTGAGGGCTGCAGCTACACCCGATACTGCTCAACTTCCTGTCAGCGAGACGCCTGGGAGGAACATCACCAGTGGGAGTGTTCATTGGGAGCAGATCTGATGGTCATGGGCGTGATGTCACAGCTCGCTCTGAGGGTCACACTAAAGGCGGGGTTGAAAAACATCCAAATGGCCAAGGAGCCAATCAGAAACGAGCACACAGAGCCAGAGTCCAGGAATTCAAAGCCTCCCGATCCTTGTGCTTCACATTACGGTGACACTTATCGCAGCGTGTTTCACTTACAACACCACCTGAATCTCCACAGCCCTTGTGTGCGTTTCTTGAGTGCGATTACCATAGCAACACTGTACCTAAAGCTCAGCAAGGCAGGACCTCCACCTGCATCTTGGGACCTTAGTAGACCCTTACAGGCAAACAGCCATCCCCCAGACGAGGAGGGAGGTATTGGAGCAGCTTGGAACTCAGAGCTGTGGCTGATGGGAAGTGTAGTCCTGAGGCACATGCTGCAGCTGAGGTGTAACGCTCAGGCAATCATCACGCTGCAAGACACAGGTGAATTGAGTTTTGTCCAAGTGAAAAATCAAGACTTATAGTCAGACACATTAAAGCAGTTTGTTCACATCTTTAGGTATTCAGATTCTTATTATAGAAGAAAACAAACATTGACTTTTGTGAAGTTAGAACCAGTGAATTGGCCATATTAACTGATTATCTCAACTTTTGTCTATTCTTTTCTGGTGGTAGACTCATTTTGCTTTACTTTAATTGTTTCAATGGTACAATCCACAATAGAACAATGTATGCTCTTTTAATAATAACTTTATCTTCAGCTTTGAATGTCGTCTAATCGTAAATTGACATTTTCTTGCATCTCACAGGAGCGGAAAACTCACCGGTGCAGTCTAGCAGGGAAATTCGCATTGCGACGGCGATGTTCCCAACTCTCAGTCTTCTGAATCACTCCTGCTGTCCCAACACCAGTCTGGCGTTCAGCACAGGAACACACCTGTCTGCAGACTTCAGTGAGAGTGTAGCTGAGAAGAGAAGCAAAGCAAGCGGAGTCACTGTCACTGTCAGAGCAGCCAAAGATATTTCTCCTGGACAAGAGATCCTGCACTGCTATGGTAGGAAAATGTCTTATTCTGCTCCAAAAAATTGTTTAGGGTGCTGACCAATTTCATAACATACAAATCTGCATATAAAAGCAGTAGCTTACATATAGTGTGGATAAAACAATGCTTTTTGATTGTTTTGTTGTAGATTAAACACTGACATTATTCAGCTGAAATGACTGTGCTTTCAGTTGGCAGTTATTATTATTCTTTAACTGTTCTTGTTGTGTTATAACTGGTGCTGTAATAAAGCCCTATCCTCCCTCCCTCAGGTCCCCACAGCAGGAGGATGGCGACCCAAGAACGCCAGCGTCTCCTGCAGGAACAATACTACTTCCTGTGTCAGTGTGAGGCCTGCACGCTGCAGCAGCAGTCAGAGGAAGAGGACGGTTCAGAGGGCAGACTGCAGTGCTCAAGTGTTGGAGGCAATCCACAGTCTGGACTTTTGTGTGGGAAGTGCAAAGGATCTCTCAATGTAGGTATTCTTAAGGGTTTTTGTGGATTTTCTTTCGTGCAATTAAACATGATTAATTGTCTGAGTTTCTCTATCTTTCTAGGGTTCCATCCTTAATCATTTGAATCACTTTATGATTTTCAGAGAAGCAGCGAGGAGAGAGGAAAAGGATTCATATGTTCCCAGGCATCCTGCGGTCACTGTGTGGCGTTATCTGAAGTGAACCAGAGACTGCAGGAAATAAAGCAGGACCTGAAGAAGGCTGTGGACCTGATGGAAAGAGAGAGGCCAGGTGATTCTGAAAAACCTAAATGTAGATACAGTAATGCATCACTGTCATTCTTCCCTATGTTCTTTTTTACACCTTCATGTTATTCTTCTGCTCCCCCCTCCGTCAGATGAGGCTCTGAGACTGTTGAGGAGGACCCAGAGTCCGTCTGCTCTGAGCCTCGCAGAGACACATCCGTTACAGGGGGAGCTGGAAGATGCTACGGCCAGAGCGTATGCTACCATGGGTGAGAATAATAATGTGTGTGACCTCTGTGGTGAATACACACCTGCTGTTGAACTTTTACAATAACAGAACTCTCTACTCTGTTGGTTGAGCATCGAAACCTTCTGAAAGTTTGCCACCTGAAAAGTTCCCTCTCTAAGTGCACTCTGGGGATTTGTTATATAATTTTGGGCTGGATCTGGCTCAATCAATAAAACATCAAATTTTTTTTCAACAGCATGTCATAATTCAATAACAATACCAAACAGTAGGGAAACGTACTGAAGGTTTAAAGAATAATTCATTTACTTTAATTATAATCTACCATTATTATTGGTGCTTTTTCAGGCAGATGCTGTTACACACATATACAAACTGTATCAAGCATTATCATTAATAATAATACATTTAATAATAATAATTTACATTTATATAGAGCTTCTCATCTGCCAAGACAAATCTCGAAGCGCTTCACAACAAAGGACACTGATACAATTTGAGAGATTAAACAAATAATAATAATAAAAAATAAATAAATAAAAATAAAATATAAAATACAAATAAATAAATACAAATAAAAGTCGGAGATAGCGATAAAAATGGCAGTATTCCAGGTGTACCATGCTCAAAGTGGATGTTAATTATTAAAACAATGTTAATGTTATTTGACCTCCAGCAGTTTATGTGAAATGATTAACCCTAGCAACTATTTAGCTGTGGAAGGCTCCATTTTTGAGTCAAAGATAACCACTCTGAAAAAAATAATTGTATTTGGTATCCTGGCATACTTTACTAGAAATGTAGTACTGGCAGCCACTGGACAAGCACACTGATATGTTGATGTTTGAATCAGCTGAATTTCTTAACAGTGTAATGCTTATATTAAATATGAAGGAAAAGCCGAAAAACAATAACGGAATTATCAGACACCCTGAGGTGTCAAATGTGAATATTTTTGAACTTTTGCAACCCTCTTACTGGGTGGTTTATTTTTCCTGTAGGCGATTGGAGTAAAGCTGCCTCACACCTTGAGAGAAGTGCCGTAGCTATTGAGAACCAGTACGGAAAGGAGAGCATTGAACTGGGTCGACAACTCTTCAAATTAGCCCAGCTTCACTTCAATGGGTGAGTGAGTTGTGCAGACATAAAGTAAAAATGTTCAAGGTGTGTCGTTTGTTTCAATGTGTAATGTCTAAACAATGTGCAACGGTTCTGCTGTGTTCTTATTTTGACAAACATTATTGGTAGAAAATAATAGTTTTGCTCTCCTGTCCTTCTCCCAGTGGTGCCAGAGGCCCCGCCCTCTTTGTCATCCCCAGGGTCAGAAAACTGCTCTGCCTTCACTGTGGCCCTCAATGTGAAGAACTACAGGAGCTGCAAGCTATGGAGGACTGTCTAACAGCATAGTCTTACATAATAACAAGAGCGGAAATCTTTGCAGTATATTTTTTGTTATGAACGAAGTCTAAGTAAATACAAATCTGTGAACGTTTCTAATTGTTGGCCTTTTGTGCTTTTTAATGTATTAAGAAATTGAGATATATCACTGTTTACGAACACTTGAGGGTATGTACAGGTACCTTTATACTGACATACTGTTTTGGAAGTGACGTGCATGTTATCACGCCGTCTACATGGCCACAGGATTCAGTTAATCGTGGCTCCATATGCTTCCATCATGAATTTCAATGTCATGCTTCAATGAAAGTATTGAAGTGTGAGGCAACTTACACACCGGTAACAAAAAGGTTTACACCAAGTTAATCAATTTATAAAATCTGCAAATGCCCACGTACACAGGTAGCCCTCTGACCTTTAGGTGGCAGCATTTATCCACCAACAAATTAAATGTAATGCTTCAATGGCCGTAAAGCAATATGTAGCTTTGACTGTTGAACCAACAGAACCAACCCCATGTCCCCCAATACCTTCAACTTAAAGTCTTTATGAGCCAGTGTTATAAAGCATCATCATCATCATGTGCTACATGAACATCAAGAGACGAGGGTTCTGGTCACAGAGCTCTGCTGAAGAGGTTAATTGGTTTTCAGAGATGATATAAAGCTCCTGTTGTGCAAAGACACTAACATGTCGATCACAGCTAGAACTCCTGAGGCATCTGCCAGTTAGACGTCAACAGTTCCTGGGTGGCAGCCAGTTCGACTGACGTGGGTACGTACTCACAGAAAGGTTAAGACTATAAATCAGAGGAGAAGTCGTGTGTGAAGGCTACACGGGGGCGGGGGCATGCTTAATATTAGGCTCAAGACCAAAAAAAAAGTCATTCTTGAGCAAGGGGGGAAATAATAAAAGCATATCACAAGCAGGGATCATTTCACGGTGGCTTTGCTCTTTTCATTCTTTGTTGAAACCCAAGACAATGAGAGAATAAAACCCATTATGTCTTTTTGTACAACCAACCATTCAAAACTCCCAGACATTACATTTGCTATTATGCACCTGAGACAATCAAATGTTTGAAATGATTCAAACAATGAATTGTTATTAGAAGGTTTACACTACTTTCTTAAAAAAGGTAGCAGATACTGAAGAGCAATGTTTCTTATTATTTTGTTTTACTACAGAGTCTATAAAACAAGAGGCGAAGAGCTAGGAAGATAACGGAATTTGTATGTGGCTGCGATCAGCCAAGCGACTTCAGAGCCACAAATCAAGGCCTGACAAGCTGAGGAAGAGTTTCACACAGGCTATGAAGGCCTTGAACAACGAACAATAAACTATGAAGGGCGATGTACCAAAGAACATGCAGCTAAATTACATTTTATGGGCAATACTGAATTTTATACTGTGATGATACATCTCTTTCAACTTTATTATATCTTGCCGTTGTTTTTCATTCTTTGTATATCTTCAGTACTTGCTATTTTGGTATGTTTTATCTAGTATTTTTTGTAAACAGCATTTAAATATGCATACATGTTTGTATATATAATACCTTAAATCTTATGTAACATACGGTCAGTGCCACAAATAGCCTAAAAATAACCTAAAAATCAATTTAAATGACCCGAGAGTCTTTGAATTTTATACATTTTTTGTAATAAATTACATAGTACTTTTATGTTGTTTGCAAATCAGTAGATGTCTAAAATAGCTGGCTTGAAAGAATGTCCAAACACCAGCTCAAGGGTTTTTTCAGATCAGAAAATATTATCATGCTGGAGACACTGCTGGAGAGAGTCCTCAAAAGTGAACCAGATATGAACCCTATTTTGTAATTCCACTCCTCGCTGAAATCCCTCTTAGAAAATCCTGAGCACGTACTTTTTTGTACAGTCTGTCCTCTAATGAGCTACTGTACATTACCATAATGTTAACATGACATTTCAGATAATGCCTTCTCAGAGTGGGAAAATCACTGATGCAGCTTAAAATATGCAAATGTCGAGCCAGAGATAACAGTGCTTACATTTCATATAGGGAGATGCAGCACACAAAAGAAGATACTAATGTGGCTGAACATCCCCTTAAGTAGAGCAAGTGATAACATTACTGTCATAGTAATCCAAGAGGTATTAAAGGTACAGTATTTTAATGTTAAAACCCTCTCCAAACACCCTGATGAAAGACTATTGATAAGAAAAAGGCCCCACATTCAAATTCTGAACATCTCGAGATCTAAAATCACATGCTGGTTTCTGAGTTATTTCTGTTTGTTTGTGTGCCTTGTTTGTAAGTTTCTATATCAGGCAGGAGGTCAGGGAGAGAATGTCAGCTGATGTTTCAAAAAAAGGCAAACAGCATGAACAGGAGCATGAGAAATAGAAACACAACCAGCACGAGGAAGTCTGCAGACATCACCGTGCTGCGGCCGTATCAGATCACAGGTTCCTTATTTGAATGTCCAGAGCCAATTTTCAGTGGCTGAGGTCTCGGGCTTATCAGATGTCTTGCTATACATAATGCAATTCAAAATTGGCCAGACTGACAACAAAAAGCTGTGGCGTGTGTATTCTGTAACAAGGCCTGCGTCAATATCTGTAACACAGACCCAGATCTCCTGTAAGCCTCAAACGTTACAGCCCACCCTGCATGAATTATACACACAGCTGGTAACCTTAACAATGCACTCTGGTCTTCAGTCTGAATGTGTGGCTAGATATGGTAAAGTTAAAGAAAGTCACATTTTTAGGTACTTAATAATAGGCCTACCAGGGTTTTGTACGATCAAATGTTTAGAATCATCATCATCAACTACAGTATGAAACGTTTAATGAGAGATAACTTTACAGTAAGAAGCCTGCATGTTATGCCTCTTCACCTCTGTTCCTTACTTCCTACCCCTTCCCTCAACCTATCCTAAGGGAGTCCATGTACGTAGACACGTTAGTTTTGCTGCTATAGGCTTAGACTGTCTGTACCTGTGTACTCTCATGTTCCGAATAACCCAGCTTCCCCCAAATTTCTTTTTGGTGTCTATCTACGCCAGGATCCTGAGTCGTGGCTGATCCTGTTGCTGCGGTCCTGTGTCCTGGATCCTGAGTCATGTGTCCTGGATCCTGAGTCCTGGATCCGGAGTCCTGAGTCCTGGATCCTGTGTCCTGGATCCTCTATCCTGAGTCCTGGATCTGAGTCCTGGACTTCGAGTCGTGGCTGAACCTATCTCTGCGGTCCTGCCTGACTCATCATACTACTTCCCTGATGGCTCCCACAGGATTGTTGACATCCTCGTGGATTCATCTTCTTATTATAGACACATGTATTTCCAAACATTCGGTCTACCTATGCTGTAAATGTATTATCTCTTCAATTTACACACGGCATCTATTGCACGTCTGTCCGTCCTGGGAGAGGGATCCCTCCTCTGTTGCTCTCCCTGAGGTTTCTCCCATTTTCCCCTTTAAACTGTGGGGTTTTTCTCTGGAAGTTTTTCCTTGTACGATGTGAGGGTCTAAGGACAGAGGGTGTCGTATTGTCATACTGATATTATGTACAAACTGTGGCGTCCACTGAGACAAATGTAACATTTGTGATATTGGGCAATATAAATAAACATTGATTGATTGATTGAATGTGTTACACTAACGAATTCCACCAAGGTCAAAGACTGTGGGTGTTTCTCAATCGCGAGTACGCTTGCTTGGTAGCACATGTCTGCCGAGCGTCTTGCTTCAGAAGCGAGTCAAGAATACTTCCTGACATTCGGAAAACAAAGAGAGGAACACGCTAGCAAGTGTGCGTCATATGAGAGGCCCCGCCTTACATCTTCCGCCACAGATTTGGGGAAATTGGTCCGTGCGCAAAGCATTGTGGGGATTTTAAGACCGCGAAGTCTACTCATGTGCACACTCGATATTTCTCCAAACGGAGTACGCCGGGCTCGGTAGATTTCCAAGTATACTGGAGATTGGAACAGTACTTCGGCGGCACTCGATGACGTAGTATGCTTGAAATAGTGGCTCTGAAGCAGCTTTACTCGCGATTGAGAAACACCCCCTATCTTGCCATAAAAGCAAGTGAAAAAATAGTTGGTAATTCACCCTGTGATTTGTATTCGATACACAACGTTATGGTCTCTCACTGGACCCACGCTACAGTATTCCACCAATTGGGAGTCTGACTGGTACACATAACTATATCAAAATAGAAAGACAAATAAAAAATGGTTGCGTAATAATGGGGCTAGATGAAAAGTCAGGCCTCCCTAAAGATAATAAAGACCATGAATTTGAGTGCCAAATTAAATAGCACTTCTCATAAATTAGTGTCCCTTTGCTTTTCTTTTGGTTTTTGTTCTTTGCTTTAGAGCTTATTTTTCCAGGTATTTCTGTCACTATCTGACCAATAGAAAAGCAGATGCAGAGTATACTCTATTTCCACTTCATCACTAACGTCAAGCTCCGAAACACTACCCAAAAGCCAACCCGAAACTAAAACCCTGAAGAAAAGCAATGATTTTAAACTCTTTGTGATGTTTTTAAAACATTAATAATTTGGGTTTGCTGTTTGCGATCATAATTAATTTGTATTCTGTTATTTATCCCATTGAACTGTCTTTCACTGTTCATCCATCATCCTGCACTTTAAATTATCCCATGCGGGCCCCTTTGGAGGGTCTCATCTTCACCTTTATAAGCCCTCTGTCCACCCTGAGAGATACATGAGCCCCTTCTTCCTCTCTGAAGGGCCTAACCCCCTCGGGTTCTCCGATGTCGGCATCTGCCTTTAAGAGGATTTCTTAAAGGTGCTCGATCTTTCAAAGGCCGACATCTGATACATGATGCAGAGGATGGTAATGTGGCTGTTGCTCATGTAAAAATAAAATCCCTATCCATCTCTCACACAGGCAAGGTTATTACCGACTATTATGGAAATAGCTGACAGTAAATAATAGTCACTCAAGACTTATTGTTAAAGTACAATGATGTATTTAAATCAGTTTGGAAAGATTGTTTTAGATTTGGAGCAAAAATAGAAACATTCATTAGTTTTTGCTGGAGCTTGCAGGCTACAATTTCAACAGAAAGAGAGA